AGTGAGGGAATAGAGAGTGCACCTGTGCTTGCACATACACTCGGGCACTATAATCCTGTCCTGTGCCGGTGGCTAGTCTCCGTTGTGGGTGGCTGCCGTGACCGAAATTCGGTCTGGAGGACATTACAAGTTCCACTGATGGGTACAAGGGACTGTACCGCGCTGCCCAATTGCATGTTGGTGGACTTTAACATGTCTTCGAAATATCCATCATAACTTACGCTAAGTATAATATCTTTAGCGCAGTTATAACTACTGATTATGTCGGAGATTGTAGTTACTGACGAAAATCCATTAGGAGTGTAACATTGATGTCAATAATCAGGTATGCCACTACGTCACGTTATAAAATTGACCACTTCACGGTTTTAAAACCAGAACATACAAGTCAGAAGAAGTACAATATTGTTTTATTTGCATAATTTTGGTCTTAATAACTTCTATCCTTTTTGTTGCTGTGTGGACGTTCACGTTTTTATTATAATTTTTTCGATTAACAGGACTGCAATTACCAGGGACTAGGATTAACTATATATTGCAAAATTTTAATAAGTGTACTCAAGCTACCTGATACGCACGGACGTTCCTAGTTAAGACATTTCTATCTATGTACATTGGAGTTTGTAATAAAAACATGTACCTATAGGCAATTTTTGTATATTAAATACATTAAAAACATAAATAAAAATAGATATGGTGTTTATTTTATCTACGTTGGTTTATATATAGTATTTTAAATTGTGACCATAAATAAACGTACGTACTCAAATGAGTACTACGAAGCCCACGCCGCCAATATAAATATATTGGCGGCGTTTCCGCGTGGGCTTCGTAGTACGCCCCTACGTTCTACGTGCTACGTTCTGAACCGCGTAGAGTGCATTTTGAAGCGGTACGGTGCTTTGGCGCGCGCTCTAATTTTTTTGCGCAAAAAAGGTATTCTAAGTGCGCATCAAACTATAGGTTGGAAGGGGTTTTAACAGTTTTGCGCGTAATTCGCGTGGCACGTGGACAAGCTTTGTATTGCGTGATGGACCTATCAACGGCCATAGTAATTGCTAGATCTAGTTTTATAGCTAGTAACAGTCCATTATCGTGGCAAGATTATTTGATAAGAATGGTAAAGAGCATATTACAGTATTATAATTAGTGTTTATGTGGTTTAATTCTTCTCTTTCTCTCTCTCAGTTCAGCAAATCCGAAGATTAGCCCCGACGGATTGACAGACAAACATTTTAAAAATATCAATGCCATGCAATTAACTCCTCAGTTCAATATAAGACAAACAAATTATTTCGATATTACAGACAAACACTTTAATTAAGCAATCAAGTTCTGTAAAAATTAGATAAAAAGGTCAAACGTTTGTCTTCTAAATAATATTACGATCCTTTAATATTGAGTATTTTATATTACGGATTAGACGTAATAATATCTATAGGTATGGTTGCAGTCGGTAGTAGCCGGTTACAGCCTCATCACTTCCAACTGACATTTACATCCACAAATGTGATTTGAGAGAGATTCATTGAGAGTGGGAACGATGACATGGCGCAAAATATCACTTGATATATCCGAATGATCCCGTGATTTTCAATGATAGCGCTGTGGCCGTCTCGTGTAAGTCAGATGTATGTAGAATACCCAAATTGGAAACCGAGGTGCTACGTCAAAAGTGCCGCTTGCCAAACGTGTCAATTATAGTAAACTCTTGTGGCGTTCTGATTCCGAACGGCACGACTGTGTGTAGCATCCTTAGTGCAATTCCCAACTGTGTTAAATCAAAAGCACTTACTATTATATCTTAATTATGATATCTTAACACTTTCGCTGTCCGGTTTCCAGACACAATAGTAAGACAATAGCAGTGCCCTATATGTAGTGCACGGGACAGCGAAAGGGTTAATTATGTTGATGTACTGTTATTTCTTTTATGTAGCTTATGGTAACGAATGTTAAGTTCTCCTATAATTAAAGGAATAGACTAGTTTTAATTTTTTATATTTTTTATTGAAGTAGTGCTGTATATCCTTTGTTGGATGTCCTTGTTTTTTTTTTTTTTTTTTTTTTTGTTTATAATAAATACTAGTAATGTTATTATTTATTTATATATTATACATTACTAATATTCCCTTTAACCACTTCTGGTAAGCTTAAAATGCTTGTGTTAGAAGTGATTCACGACAGTAGTCGAATGGCGGATTCGAACCCACGACCTTTCGAGTTCGCGGTCCGCGTCCTGCCATTAGGCTACTGACGCTTCAATTGTTTGATTGATTGTTAAATAAATAAGTTGCCAAACTAGAAAAATATATACCAAACGGCCCTACAAGAGTCAGATAAGACACCTGCGACATCAGTTCTGCAATATATATGTGATTTCATTTACCGCACACTCCTTAAAATAGGAGAGGCCCATTGTCCATTTGACAATGGTCCAGCAGTGGAATGAGCTGATGATGATGAGGAAAAAGTAATAGTTATTTATTTATTTAGAAAGGTTAATTTTTATTCCGATTTAACTGTTTTAAATTAAACTACAAATGAAGCAGCCAAATACTATGTATCGTTTACTTAATTTATTTTGTACAAACTTCAACAATATATATAATATATACTCAATTAAACATCTATCATTCAGCAAAATGAACTCACTTTTTGTCATAAGTATATTCAAATAAACAATATAATGATATCATAACTTATTGTCTAAACTTAATTAAACACAACTTTTTTTGTGCCAATATGCCTAATAGTAGTTAAAACGTTTGGTTAAACCAACACAACTAGAACTTCCGGATATGACAGTTAAACAAATTTATTCTATGCATCGCGGGACGGCTCACTTTTTGATGAGATTTAGGAATCGGAACGTCAAAAGATGTTTTTGTCTTATACGATTTATTTGTGCGACCGACTTGCACGAAGAACAAGTGTTAACCAAACATCTGTTTATATGTTAATGACGGACTTTTATATGTTCTCATTGAAGTGGACCGTCCAGTGATGCGGGGTTCTCGTCGCTTTGCAGCCAACGAGTTATCTGTTGAACATAGTGCATGAGCCGAAACGTAGGGAACAAAAGGGTTGTGTGGGAAGGTATCCAGCAGAGAGTTCGCGCGCGATGGGGAATTTCGCTGGCGCACTCCCTGCGCTGTACACCCTCCTCCAATAAAGTACCTACATATCATTTATTATCTGGAACCATAATCTTTATTGCAAAATATGTGCAAAACGTCAAGCGTTCTCATTTTAATTTACAATACACTGACTCTTTAAACTTTTGCAACATTTAGACTGTCTCGCACTTCAGAAAAATTTTCACTTTTACTTTAAAACGAATCAAAAACAACCGACACACAACTATTCAGTGACATGTTTCATGACGTAAAGCGAAATATCATGAGCACACGCTAACGTTATTGCTTCAAGCTTGTTACGTATCGCTGCGCGACTCGCCGTACGAATAGTACTGTGATAATAAAAGTGTGGCGACGTGCGTGCTCGGGTACACCCGGCGGTAAGCTCTCAATATTTACACATTAGTAGAAAATTGACCACTTTCAAAGTTAATTTACAAAAGTTTAATGATAAATAATTATTGTTGTGCTAGAAAAGACAACGCTGACATAACTCAACCATCGGCACGACGCCCGCGACTCGTCGGCGACGTGGCACCCGACGACTCCACTGACTCCGCTACTATTATCTAGAGTGATGTCAATCGAAAAATAAAAACATCTGAATAATATCTACCTTACTCGGTAAGGGACGTTCGATCTCTTAGGTATTATCAATAATCTTATTGCTAATATCGGTGGTTCTTTTGATAGCCGATTGGGGTCGTTTCCGGTGACGGTTGCGTGCCAGCGACACGACAAGAGAACGAGCGAGGTCGAACAGAGCGGTACCGGCCGCTCGCAGCGTCGCGACGGATCTCGCATCAGCTAATGTAATTGGGGAAGTTTCGATTACATTAACTACGTGGAGGTGCGCGTTACGTAAAATGGCTCGATTCTATGATGCATACTGAATTAGGACGGAAGTGAATTCTGGTACCGACTTCACTGCTGATTTGCTAAGCTTATATAGATAACCTTGCAAAAATTCTTCTAAACTCTTTTTTTTTTACTTTGAGGCGACCGACCTCGACTAGAAAGATAGACGTAGAGTCGTCATTACGGTACAGTAAGAAGCGTAAAAATTGGAACTATTAAAACTATTACGGACAAAATTGATATGAATCGGCGTAGCCATTGCCTTCCTTAAGCGTTAAGGTATTATTAGATACGATTATAATAACGTCCGAACGCGATGGACGAGTCGAAAAATGTTTCATGAGTGATACATGTACTTATGTAGTGGTGACGAATTTACTTCTTGCGTATAAAGTTTAAACAATTGTCATAAGTTTGAGCGCTGCGTAGTTTACGGCTGCAAAGCGGCCTGCGGCATCGCGGCAAGCGGAACTTAAACCAAGCTAACATCTCTCCGCGTCGATCTCCCGTTCTCGACGGCACTGAAACTCTCCCACTGTACGACATCATTTCGGGGAAGACAAAATGATTCCTTACAGTAGTCGAGCGACGCGCACGGCCGCGTCCCGATAAGTGCTCATCGCTCATCGATTTAAACTTTACACAGAGACAATTATCGAATACAAAAATAAGCCTTTAGAGTCTTCACAGTTTTATCCGTCCTCTTACATTACTAATCCGCGAAACAGAATGGCGGGCCACCTAAGAACTATCCTCACGAACCGGTCACACCCAGGGTAGGTTCGACGCGTCAACACAACAGAACACGACAGAACACGCGACAGTGGGTCGCAGAAGAAGCAGTCTCTCGAGCGTCGCCCGTGGCGCGGGTCCCCGCCGGCGGGGTGGGGCGGGGCGGAGCTAGGTGCGCGCGGGCGGGCTGAGCAGGTCGGGCAGCGGCGCGGGCAGCGGCAGCGGCGCGTCGTCGAGCAGCGCGGGCAGCAGCGCGAGCGCCAGCGCGGGTCAGACGGGCGCGGGCGGCGGCGCGGGCTCCGGCGGCCGCGGCGCCGCGCCGTCCGCCTGCAGCACCACGCGGTGCCCGTTCGGCGTCACCGCGTCCAGCAGCACCGCGGTGGGCGCGCCCTCGCCGCCCGCGCCCGCGCCGCCGCCGGCGCCGGCCTCCGCGTCCGAGGAGTCGTCGTGCGCGCGCCGGTGCCGCCGCCACGCGTGCTGGATCAACCGCGCGCAGTACTCCTCGCGCTGCCGCCACAGCGTCGACGACACCGGCTCGTAGCCCGCCTCGTCCGGCCGCCCCACCTCCAGGTCGCCCGTCTCCTCGATGGGGTTGCCCTTCCTTGCAAAGAAGTCCTTCGTCAACGCGTCCAGGATGTCCACGCAGAACATCATGTCGCCTCGACATATCGGTATGTCCATGGATATTATTTTGTATTTGTTCGGCTTGTGTATCTGTAGCGGCGGTTCGAGGACGTCGAGGAAGTCGGACAGTTGGTCGTAGCGGATATACTGGGTGCCGTCGGGGTCGAATCGTTGCCATATCTCGTAGTACATGTCGTAGTCGTCGTCGGTCAGACCTTCTTGAACGTCCTCCGTCGCCTGAAAATAATCAGAATATATTATATTAATTGCTCCCTAACCCCGTCACTTTTTATCTTGTTATATCTAAAGATTCAGTTTTACCTGTGAGTAATTTTCGAGGATAACGGCGATGTACATGTTGATGACGATAAGGAAAGAGATGACGAGGTAAGATAGCAGATAAGTGATGCCGATAGTGGCCGACCCGCAATTTCCTGGAGAACCACGTTCGTTGTCGGGCAAATCGCACTCTTCTTCATTGATGATGCCATCCAAAACACCGTCCCAGCCGGCTGATGTTGACATCTAAAAAGCAATCAACACTGTCATTTATAGAATCTAGAAAGATTTTAAATAAAGAAATCTCTGTTTATCGAATTTTACTTAAAATACATAATAGAAATGTCATGATTTACATGCTGAAACTCCCCTAGTGAATTATTTTTTATGCATATTTATTTATCATACATTATTCTAAAGTACATACTCTATGGGCTGGGTATAGACGAACCCGTAGGTCTCTTTTTCTCCCTAAGAGTCCATGTAGGTAGGTACGTCTCTCTCACCTATTTGTGCCACCAAGCAGCAGTGTCTAGAGAGTGCAGGTATAGAGAACAAGTATGTTTACAGGTTTTCAGGCATTCCATTTTAGTCCTCAGAAATTACCATGCATCTGTAGCCCTTCTTCATTTGAAGATGATTGCAGTTGGCCATGGAGTGCATTAGTCACTTATTTTTTACTGTAAATTCGTTTGTCACTTCACTTTTGTAAAAAGTTGTGTAATACTCGATATGAAATTTATCATTGAAATCTCGATTTAGAATTAAAATGTAGATGCATTGTCACCCCTGAGAACTAAGATAGAATGAATCGTTACCAGTAATAAGGGTCTCCGGTTCTCTAAGTTCATTTAGCTGCCTTTTTACTCTTATATGCAGTGAAAGCGTGGTCCTTCCCCGATCGTGCCGACCCATTCTCGCTGCCTAATAATAAATGGGCTCAGGTTGAAATTAGAACCTATTACACGAAAGAAGTTCCGCGGAAATATGACAACTAAAATGTAAAGTATGGAATTTGAGAGCTAATGTTATGTTTCGCGAAGACTGTGACACTGCGGCTAATGTACTTCTTTTTTGTGATAATGACTCTGGAACCATAGTGAACCCGTGATTATCAATAAACCACGTTTGTAACATGACTGTTACACTCAGTCGCTTGTGACCACGAGCTTAGTGACAAGGCAACATAACGAACACTGCTACTGGCGGATCACGTACTATATCCGAAGCTACTTTTAATACTTTCATTTGCATAAATTATTTAGTTATCAAGTACTTTGTATTTTGATAGGAGAAATAAATTAAGAAACAGCATTGTTGGTTTTTCGGCAAATTCACACTGGACTAACTTTATAACGAATAAAATAGAAATATTCAATTTACCTGAAATAGTAAAATCATGCTCTGCACGAACGTTTTAAAGTTATAAACGTCGTCTAGACCACCTTTGTTTTTGACGTGCATGAAAAACGACATCCCGAATATTGCGAATATAAACATGACCAGGAACAATAAGAGGCAGATATTGAACAGAGCCGGCAGTGACATGGCCAAGGCGAACAACAGCGTCCGGATACCCTTAGCTCCTTTTACAAGTCGGAGTACTCGCCCAACTTTCGCAACCCTGACGACTCTCAGCAAAGTCGGCGACACGAAGTACTTTTCTATAATATCGCTTAACACCAAACCTGCAAACGTAACAACTTAGTTTAGAACTTTAGAAATTTTTAGCGATCAAATGCAATGAGAAATGTTTTGAAATCCTCTTATACAGGGTTATTATTTTTCAAAGAGTAGTTAAATTTTAAACTAAGTTCAAATATATAAATCTAAGAAATAATGATATACCGTTATTGCAGTTTTTAAAAATACAGGCTATACAAGGCTTCTATTTTTATTTAAAAATATCCCAAATTGAATGTGAACTATTGGTAACAACTATGCGTACGCGCGCTTCTCTGTGTGCGGTTCAATTGAAAACGTTTTTGCCGACCGATTAACCCTTACGAATGTGTGCGTGCGTAGTAAAATTGTTTGCCCATTTGCCCATATTACGTATACTGAACCTTCTCTGCAAATTTTGGCGGTTATTGCAAAATAACCCAGTATATTTTTGAAGTGTAAACTTCTTTAGCCGCGTCAAACGATTTTTGGTAGGGGTGAAACTTAGTTGGCGTCACCGATGACCTCGACATGCGCGTGACGTATTGTATACGCGTGCGTATATCATTGGCTTTTCACTTCAGTCGGCAGTCCTTATGACTGACTCTTTTTATATAAGAGGGGGCAAATGAGTTTGCGGCTCACATGATAGTAAGTGAATACACCTAGGTAAGCTGTTAAGCTTGTATATTATGGTTTGATTAAAAATAGTAAGTTGTCATTTAACAACATATGCGTAGGTATGACCGCAATTATGATGATAACCAATATATAATCTGGGGGTTCTGATCAGTAGCGGACGGACTACACCATGAGAAAGAATTAGATTATTGTGAAGTGGATGATCACGTATTCCTTATCTAAATTATTCTTGTTGAAGTATGTAGTTTATCAATATGTCTAAAGAGTGGAAGAGAGACATATGTATATACATGTAGCGGGGATTCAGTCTGAAAACGATAGTGAAAATATAAATATTTTATATTTTAATAAGCTACTCACTTAGTATAGAGAACATAACTACAACAAAATCGAAGAGGTTCCACGGTTCGACGAAGTAATGGTAACGTAATGCGAAAATTTTTAAGAGGCACTCGGAGCTGAATATCACAATGAATATCATGTTGAGGTAGTCAAGTACTGCGCTGAACGTATCGGACTGCTGGTAGTGGTCCAACGTCATCGTCAGCATGTTCAGTCCGATGAACAACATTATGATCATGTCGAATTTCTTGTCCGTCACGATCTCGAACACAATCGCTTGTGGCCTCCACTGAAATTAAATAACAGTCATTACTATAATGTTAATAAAAAAATAAAGTAGGTAGTGGCCTTCATACGTCCCACTTTTGGGTACAGGCCTCATCTTATTTCTGAGAGGATTTTAGGGCAGGTAAGAATCCACTGCGCGGTCTTAATGCATGTTGGGGGACTCTTTTAAGTTACTGTGAATTTTATCTTTTTAATTTCTAAAACGGGCAGGCTTCGCTATCGGTGTTTTCCTATCAAGCACATAGTAAATCAAGACTTAAAATTTCATTAGTGCCGCACGGAACGAACTCGATTTTGCTAGAGTACTTTTAAATTTTAAGTCACCCCCCGAGCTACCATGGCTCTACTAGTGTGCCATAGCACAGCGACATTAGCTGACGTAATATTGTACTTAAGATTTAGGTTTGAATGTCAGTAACGTCAATTTTATGTTTTTTTTTTGAAAAACGGGCACACACAGTCCACTTGATGGTAAGTGGATGCTGCGGCCCATAGATATCTACATTTATCCTTAATTAAGAATCAAAATGCACATGATGCGTTGTCAACCCTGAAGACTGAGATGGAATGCCTCGTTTCTTGTAAAATGGTCTCCGGTTCTCTACACTCACCATACGAAACACAGCAGCATTAAGCTGCTCTTTTACGCTGGTATTCTGTGAGAGCGTGGTCCTACCCCGGTCGACCCAACCAATTCGTGGTGCAACTACAATATAGCTTGGCTCTACCACGTAATAATATGTCAATTAAAGGTTTTTTAAGGGATGTATTGATGATTTTCATGCCTAAGACACCTTATCCAATCCAAAATCTTATTTAATAAATAAACAAAAGTACAGAAGTATTTACCATGCCAAGCGATACTTACCTTTGGTCTGGGTATAGCTTTCAAAGGCTTTTTCGAACCCATTTTCTTCATGGCGTTATAATACTTTTTCTGGTCTTCAGTCATGAACATTTCGAGACTCCCTCCGGCTTTCTTTTTTTGTTCGTTGAAGTTGTCGATGATCACACCGATGAATAGGTTCAAAGTGAAGAATGAGCCGAATATAATGAAGAACACGAAGTACAGGTACATGTATATATTGGTCTCTCTGATCGGTTGCCGGTCAACCTAAAATAAAAGATTGTATATTATTACTATTTAAATATGCGTCAACAAACCTTTAACACGTAGTTGGCCGCGAGAGGCAGAGGAGGAGAGAGAGTGTTACTACTTATTTTGCATATAAACTTATTATATCATAATTTATAATATAGTTTTGTAGCAAAATAATTAGGAAACGCGTACCCTTAATAGGTGGGCGTGAATGAAAACGTGATGAGAAAGTGAGGGCGATGTAGGAAGTTCTACATCTCTATAGAAAGTACGATTTTTTGATTTATGTTAGTAAGTAGGTACATTTTTATCCGTTTAAAAATTTCCGCTTGCGCCCCCTTGTAAAAGCCAAACACATGCCTCTTTTAAAAGCCAAACTGCACAAGAGAGCAAATTTGATTCTGCGATGAAAGAAAGAATCCGTCTTAAAAGAAATAGACCAATTACCAATTTGGTATTTTACGAAAAAAACATAGTACGATTAGAAGGCTGATTGGCGGTTTTGGTATCACATACTTCCTGCCTTTATTATATATTTCATAATTTTCAGATCTGGCAATTCTTCTCAGTAGTTTCCTTAGCGAAATTTTGAAACACTCGTTTAAAAATAGAACAACGGATTTTCTTATAAACGGCAAAAAATATTAACCACTACTATTACTTACCTCTCGGGAGTCAATGGCGTCGTTCATAATCTGGATCCAGCCTTTGAAAGTGGCAACTTGGAACAGGCATAAATATGCCTTGCCCACGTGGTCGAAGTTCATCGGTGAGTTCTCCCAGGTATAATTTTCTAGAATGCACGCATTTCTATCCGGTATTATTTCGTGGCTCATGGTCGTATGATTCACATCGACACACTGAAATTACATTCATGTGTTTTAGAATATATTATTACTTATGTATGGCATTACATAGCGTTTTTTGCATCTGGGAAAAAGTTCAAGATAGTTTTTGCAGCAGTCTGTGTTTTAAAAAAAATGGTATTCGTATTTATTGTTATTGATTTTAGTTGTAAGGATAGACATGTCTTATACGCGGTCCATCTTGACGTACGTCCCGCCAAGGTCATGCACGCACGACGCACAACGTCAAGCCTACGCCTACTCATTGTCGATTAGCGTCGTACGACGTGCGACATGCACCTTGGCGGGACGTATGTCATGCACCTTGGCGGGACGTATGTCAAGATGGGCCGTGTATAATAAATACAACAATAATAATATATACAACACCCTACGTATATATTATAATAACGCTTTTAGATTGTTGCTGCCACGTTACTGTAGTGCATCAGGTATGTGAGTTGACGCCCACATAGACAATTTTTCAATACTGATTCGCAAAAAAACTGCGTCACTGATGCACAGGGTTCGTGGGAGCGCCAACAGCATTCTTAACGTAATTAGCGAGAAACCCGATTGTACTTTTTTGAGGCACTGGATGCATGTTCATGTCCATGTATCCGTTGCCTCGGACAGGCAACCCAGATATATGAAGTAATTTTTATTTAATTTTACTATCTACCTACTTTTAACGAATTATCGTCTGCAATAAATGATTAATTATTATTATTATATCATTAATATAAGTTATGCTTATGATTTTGTTAATATATTATTAAGTCGGGTCTGTTATGAGTTACGTTTACATTGATTTATATTATTTTGTTAATATTAAATAATTATTATATTTTCAATATTATTATCAATACTTATGCATTTGATATATTAATTTTAGTAATGAGTAATAATTTTAGTATTAGAATTAACTTGAATGAATGTAATATTACCCTATGATCCTTGCTGGTCGAAATAAATAAATAAATGAATAAGACGTTTATATTGCCATGCTTTTAGGATGCTGATAAGCAATACCATGTCAAGCCACACGAACTTAATTTTGAGAAAATGCCGTCTAAAGATGTCATACCAATTTTCAATAAATTTGTTTAAAGAAAATACGCACCCACCGGTTCTTTTCTATTTGATGAAAGAAATAATGGATTGAAAGTAAATTTTTATCATAAAAAGAGAAAATACTGCTAAGTTTTGTGAAAAAATTAGATTTTTGCATATTGCAAAATATGGAATACGCTATATTAGTCTAAACAGGAAATTAAGGAACATAACACTATTTTGCTAAATTCTAATTACGGGATTTAATGAAAGTAAATGTATGTTAAGGAGCATAAATGAATATTGATAAAAGTATATTCTCACTTACAATTTGTAAAGTAGTTTTAAATAAAAGTCAGTAAAATAGTTTTAATATTAATATTTATTGATATGAAAATAAAGAAAGCAATTTTTTTAAACAAGCCTGAGGATTAGAAAATTTTATATTCAAGAATAATAATTTTATTCATTCCTCAGACTGATAATTTCTTAGCAAAGTATCTTAGGTAAGCTAAAAATGATAACTTTAAATCTGTCTTATTTTTGTAAACATTTTATTACAGTTAAGTTAGTTAATTAACAGAGATATTTTATTATCACTTTAACTTAAACAACTAAGCGTTAGACTCATTGTTTTTAACAAAGTACTATAATTTAGGAACCTACTTAAATGTCATCGACAACTTTAAATCTTATTTTAGTAATCATTTTCTTGAAGTTAAGTTAGTTAATTAACTGAGGTAGTTTAATATCACTTTAACTTAAATATCTAATGTATTTTAACAGAAGTCAGGACAGGGCTTTTTAAAGATCTTTGAATTTTGAGATCTTTGGGAACATTTTTAAGTATTCATTTAATATTAAATTTCTTCCTGACTAGCCCAATTATTTTCAACTGAGCAAGTGGTTATGTATCCAGAACTTTAATCAGTCTCATTGTTTCTGCAATTTTTTTGACTTAATATTACCTAAAACTAATGTGATCATCGCTTTAACTAATATAGCCAAGAAATTACAATAGATAACATGTAAGTTAACAAGAAAATGCTTAATCATCAATCAAATTTTCTTCATCATCAATAAAACCACCCGACTCAACGTTCCTCAAGAAACTATAAAATCCTCTTGCATCTGTTGGAATGAGCTTTAACCAATCTTTTAAATCTTGAATTTTCGCAGCTAATAGTTCACGCCCATTCGGGTATCGGGCCCAGGGCTGAGCTTTTTTACAGACACACAATTTATATTTTCTACCAATACTAAAAGCTCACTTGGCATTTATGGAATAGTTTTTCTTTTTGGCTTCTATAACACTACCCTGTAAAACCGCGCACCTTGCTTCATAAGAACCAGAACTCCAAAATTTTCTTTTATACGCTGATCAATAGACAATTTTTCCGTACATGTTAAAGGACATCTACAATTCCTGCTGTTAAATTTCTTCGCACGAAATTTTTTCCTTTCGCACTGAAATAATCCTGATTGGTATTCGTTTTTTCTTTCTTTTGATGCTGAAATAAAAGGGTAGAATTACATAGACCAGACGTCTATATAGTTCTACCATTTTATTTTTTAGGTCTACCATTGTATTTTTGGGTATATAATCAGGGTCTTCAATGTTTTTACGATTCTGATCAACGTAATTTAAAATATTAACAGTGGCTTGTACATGTCTTACACACTAGTATGACGAGGGTCATTTTCTTAAACAGGACTAGAAATATTCTCATTCGAATGCTTCTTTTTATCAAATGTGTTTGAACAATTTTTGTCATTTCCATTAGTTAATGTCTCTATTGGTTGCCATTTATCGTCGTCACTAACGTTCGAACCATTTTCTTCATTGAAATTAGTAACTTTCTTAGTTTGTTGGTCCTTATTATTATGTTCATCATTTACAAACTTCAGTTTCTTTTCTTTAATTGACGGAAACAAAAGGTTAATTGTTTCAAAAGAGCTTGATGCACATAATTAGGCTTTGGTAGAATATTTATTTCTGAATGGCTAACTCAAATATTGATGAAATAGTATCCATTGAAATATTATCCGCTAGTGTATAAATAAAGAGATCACAGCATCTGGACTTTTGTAATTCTATAGAATAATATAAGTCTCGATCAGTTCTAACATTAGGTACAGAGATATCTTGAGGTTTATTTGTGTTGGCATGTACAGTATTTTTATTCAAATCTTTTGTATTGCAATTCGCAAAATTGACTAGTAATTGACTTCTTGATTTTGGCAGTGACATTATTCTACAAAAAATAAGGAAAAAGTTAGTAGTAGTGGTGGACGTCTATGAAAATAATACCTAAACAAGTCGATATAACTCATGCAATTTTTTTAGATAGCGATTTTCCCAATATAATTTCACGGTACTTAAAATATAAATTATTTCTCGTAAAAGCTAACTTACAATATGCAATAATATGTTAAGCACCGTAAACTGCACTATAAGTTTTACTCAAAAGCGTTTTGTATTAAACAATAATCAATCAAGTGGTTTATCATACCTATTTATTACAAAAGTTACAATAAATCAATATGATAGGACCAAATAACATTAGTTAAGTATAAGAAAAAGCTTTCCTTTGATATATAACAATACAAATATTTAATTTACTCGTTTCCTAATTTATATCGGCAGCCTAACCTATTAAGAAAATAACAGAATAATTACTGACTTACCTTGATGAACCCAGCGTAGATTACATACTATTTACTAAAACAACAGTTTGTACAACTAATCAACTAATTACAATGGGAATATCAGTTATTTTTTCAATTTTTACGTATTCTTCTTTGTTTGGCGCTGCCCGAAGAACGAAATAACATTTCGCAACACAGTATCAAGTCTCATAACATCTTTATAGTGACAACAGATGGAGATACTTTGAATATCGACCATGTTAAGGAGCTTAACGGTGTTTTGGCAAATGTTGTATAAGTGATTTCCCATTTGTTTTATGATATAATTTATTTTTTTCCATACTTATTTGATTTAAGTAGGGTAGACTGGGTACGGTTGAAACATTTTAGTGTTTATCGTCCATTACATCTAAATTAGTTAAGCGAGCGATGACTGAAATATATTAATTAAAAGACCATATATCTGTCTTCTAATGGGTAATGTTATTTGAGATCACTGTATTGCATTTTATGTGTAAAATCAAATTTAAAAAGAAAATTAATTTGTTTCAACCGTCCCCCTGCCAGGGTCGGTTGAAACAGTGCCTGGGGTCATTTGAAAAATACAAAGAATACAAAATATAATTAATGAACATGTTTAATTCATCGTCTAATAACATTTTAGGACTCTTAATTGTACAGTTGAACATCATAAATATTTTTTTAAATTAATATTCAAGTCTTTCATGATACTTATAATCTATCATTATTTTTAATAAGGCAATTGGAGTTTTTGTAAGCAGTGGAGAGCGAAAGATAACATTTTGACGTGGTAGAGCCATGCTGCAGCTATAAATAGTATAATTGTAGCACCAATGTGTCGCTCGACCGGGGAAATATGAATAACTTGTCACCAGCTATTTCGTTGTCATCTCAAGTCCGAGGTCTTGACAGCATCCTTTTTAGTTTGGCCAAAATATATGTCTGCACATCTAAAATTAAAGTAAGTCTTATATCCCATTTATTGATTTTCATCATCACCAGTCGTATCTCGTTTATACCTCAACAGGGAACAATGGTTCAGTCCATTATTTTCTGCCGCTGGTCTTAACGAAGATCCGGCTTTTACATCTTCATAGGCTTCTTTGTACGTTGATAAGTCGGCCTGACCTCTCGTAGTCTTCCTTTGGCGTACACTTGGCAGCTAAGAAACAAGAAAATTAAATAAATAAACTGTTTCAACCATACCCACAAAAAATGTTTCAACTGTCCCCAACCCCCCTTCTAGGTATAAAACGGTTCACAGTAAGAATGATAATAAATTTGAATAAAAACCAATCATACAGCCATATTCTACAAACTTCAAATAAAACGATACAACACCCTTAATACTCTAACTTTAATAAAACCATAATAATTGCAAAAAATGTACGAACAGAAATACTTACTTTTCCGTCAAAAAACACAATGGGGCCTCCTATACATAAGCACAGCGCGCGAAGAGCGACGCAACACTAAAATTCATGTTTCGACTTGTCTCCCGCTTCGTTCTCCCTTTGCACTCCTCACCTCATCACGCAAGGTGTCGAGATATTGGCTTTGTTTCAACCGTCCACCGTTTCAACCGTACCCAGTCTACCCTAACTTAAAACTCTTTTGCATAATGTTTAATAAGTAACGCGTTATCAGAAAACATCAATATCTCTAAATTTGACTTTTTGTGGGTTGACACATTATTGCTTATCAGCATCCTTATAACAAGTGAATTTACAATCTTAATAAAGTTTGCTTTATAAGTGTTGCTTCCAGTTAACGTTTTGGGTATTTTATAAGTCATAAATTCGGTATTATTTTATAGATTATCTTTCTTAGGTCATCTGAACCAACAGAGAGTGTCCATACAAAGTGTAATGTACAATATAGCTTACCTAGGTTAGATTTGTTTCGAAGCAATCATATAATGCATTTAAAATAATATTTCTGGTTTAAATTATATATTAATTCATTAAATAAGAATTTACGATGTATTTGTCCTTTTAACCTTAAAGAGACAAATACATAGTTTAAATATACAGGGTTATTTTGCAATAACCGGCCAAATTTGTAGAGAAGGTTCAAAATAAATAATATAGGCAAATGGCGAAGAAAAATTAATTTAAAAACATTCTGTCCTTTTTATCTTTTAATTTCAATATGTGGGGTAATGGATTATTTTATCTGATTTTACTGCGCACGTATGCATTCGTAAGGGCGACCGGTACCTAGGCAAAAATGTTTTTGCCCATAAATCAAATTCAATTTGGAATAATTTCAAATAAAAGTAGAAGCCTTATTTACTCGTATTTTCAAAAAATGCAATAACGTTATTACATTATTTATATATTTTAACTTAAGTTTAAAATTTAGCTACTCTGAAAAATAACCCTGCATAATTTGCTTAATTGTTTGTATGTTCCAAGTGTTAGCCGTTTCAACTAAGTCCAGTCAAGAATTCAAAAATAATTTAACGCAGCAAGCACTATTAATATAAAGCAATGTATTATTGCTTTAAACAAAATAAAATAACAAACCTTGAAATATTTCCCAGCAAAAAGTTGCACACCCATGATCGCAAATATTAGCCAGAATATGAGACACACAAGTAGCACGTTGAAGATGGATGGTATAGCCTGCACTAGAGCGTTCACTACCACCTGTACACGAAACATCAAATATATTTTTTCATATACATATATGTTATATATATACTATATAATTGTATATTAAAATAAATAAAAATTAGCTGCAAATTATGCATCAGCAAACAATGTGTGTATGCTTGCTCTTATTTAAGTAAGTATAATTAAAAACTTTGTTTTAATTAAGCAAGTTAATAAAGAAACATTTTATATTTGTATGTTATATATTAAAAAAAAATATGTAGCTGCATTAATCAAGTATTTTTCGTATTATATTACTAAGCATTATGAATGTTTACATAACTATACATGCAAAAACACAAAACACAACTTCATGCAATATGGCCACTAATATGATCTATGCATTCTAACTTACCACCTCTTATTAAATCATGAGTACTAAAGGCATGCGAATTCGAATAGATCCTACGATGTTCTTGCAAGAAGAAAAATCTAAAGTGCAGAATCAAAAATAAGAATTTACGTAACTAGGAAAAATAAACTCTAAAATTAGTAACGATAATCAAGAGAAAGTATGGACCAAAAGAATGAAATGAAATATATCTGTCGACATGAAACCTATTGAGTGGCTTTACAGAGGATGAGACGAATCGAGATGATACTAAGCCATTCCTGGGTGCCACCGGAGTCGTCAAAATGATTCGCTAGTTATTAAGAATCGAGTCGACTACTGCCATGAATTCGTTACAACTTTGAAAAGGAAACAACTACAAACATGATATCCAGTTACTGATAAAATGATTGAAAGGAAGGGTACTTTTGATTTTGTGGTGTATTTGAGTTGTGTGTGTTGTGAGTGAAGTTGAACGATGTGGGTGTAGGTGTGTGGGGTGGAGTGGTGCGCCAGGCCCGAGCGGGGCGTACGTACCCTCATGCCCTGCATACGGCTCATGGCCCTGAGCGGGCGTAGCGCGCGGAGCGTTCGCATCGTTTTGAACGCCTGAATGCCACCGGCGCCACAAAGCGCCGCTACGAAGTTTATAAGCGAGACCTGATGAAATCAACATGTATTTTGAGAACACACGGTAAGGACACATTATATTCACTAAACAATTTACAATTGTTCGCTGATAACATCACCTATAACACCTGCCAAAGAGATAAACAATAATACGACGTTTGGAATACCTATATAAAGACATGTATCCGGTAGTGGATGACGAATGTAACGACGAACCACAAACAACAACAATATTAGAGACGCCGAGTGAGGAAGACGAAAGTACCTAATACCGAAAGGAAAGTTTTTAATATGCCTAATTGATAAGTATAACAAGGACCTGACAAAAGCTGACAAAGCACAATAAATAAATATGTATATATATAGGTATAATCAGGTAAGTACATTCAGATAGTTGAGAAAGACGTCAGAGAAATAATGGCTAGTCGTAACATTATATTATTTCTCTGATATCTAGTGATTGACACTGAAAATACACACGAAAAATAAATTATTTACATAAAAAATATTACACCAATAGCAATCAGAACAGATTTGTTACCGTCTGCATCTCAAACATTATGATTGAATAAAGCATGCATTCGGATAGTCTCGCTTTTATGGCAAGACGTTAGATAAATTATTGTGACTAAAGAAGATATTGTCAGATAAGAGCTATTGTCACAGAGAATGGAAGCAAACGTTGAACGACATACAATAAAAGAGACATCGAGAGCTCGTGTCAGCGGGAACTGAGTCTCCACTGCAGATAACACCGAACAGTCAAAGCTCCACGCTTCTTGCTTACGCTGCACATTGAATGACTTTTTTAAGAGATAAAATACTTTACTTGTAAAATATACGAGTACGTTTTAAGTCATTATGTGATATTAAAGTTAAAAGCTTGTTTTATCAATGGGCAGCGTAGAACCACATCGGGTAACCAAACTCCATGTTGGGTATCGCCGGCAGCGCGTACTCACGCGCATCCCCTCCCATCTGGAGACAGCACGAAGGGGGCGAAGAGCCCGCAAGGTTCGCATCGACCGAAACGCCGGGATGTCGTCCGCCCCCGCCATCACGGCTCCGTGGTTTATCAGTGACAACTAACGCGACATCATTCGTCATTTACATGAACTATTTGATATAGAATTATATTATGTCAATGATTTATAAATGATGTGTTTTCACTTAGCTGCACCATTCTGAATATTATATTTGAGTTTATAAAATTGGTTTAGTTTTAATTTTGACACAAACTCAATAAAATACATCTGTTATAAAATGAAACTGTACGAAACATATTCGTACCTGATTTACAAATAACGATAATATAAACAATTAGAAAATATTTTTGCTAATTATTTCATTAATCATATGATGCATCGATAAATAAATTCCCTTGAAAAATCGTATTTAATTATATCATTGTTATTAATAGAACGATCTGAAAGTAAGTGCATATTTTAATACTTACCATGACAATGATGAAATCAAGCCAGCACCAAGCATTTGTAAAATATTTCTGGAAACCAAGCGCCAACCACTTAATCAACATTTCGATGAAGAATATCACAGTGAAAATGCGGTCCATGTAGTAGAGAATGTCTTGAAGAATTGGCCGATGCGGTAAGTGTACATCTTCTAAAGCCTAAAATATTATTTGTAAAGATTGTTTAATTTTTTAAATATTTCTTTAAAACATATTACAATTTCTATATGAAAGGGTGTTAAATGAGTATTTACCAAGGCTAAACTGCTAAGTAAGATCATTGTAATAACTGCCGTTTCAAAATAAGTGTTTTCAATCAGTCTAAACGTTTTTAATCTAAGTGTAGCCCATCCTTGCCAGAAAGGCGACTCGTCATCTCCCGCCAAAAAGGGGAAACGCACATAACATGGCTCAGGAAAACAGTCAGATGGCGAATCGTCTACAACATCCTCGTCCGCAGCTATAATTATGTCATGTTTTCCCAGAACATCCAATTTGCCGTCTTCTTCCTCCTCGATCATCTCTGAAATAATATTTGCATAGTTGATACAAATGCGAACGTTGATAAAAATATCCCTACATTCATAGATTCATATTTTTTACTATTACTTAGTAGTGTATTACTAATAGTTGTGCGTGTAATTGTGTACACATGTACGAAATGAATCTTATTTACGACATATAATTCTTCTTTTATTTCATATTTTACAAGAAAACGTGACGTTTTTTTTTTAATGCCGTACTAAATTTCTCCACTACGTCGATAAAGTAGTTTCACTTTAATAATAACTTTTACTGTATAATGGCGGTATAAGAATATCTACTACCCCATATCATCCTGTGCGTGTCGTAAGAGGCGACAGAGGGAAACAAATCAGGAGACGGGCAGCACTGTCTTCCTTTCTTTCTTTTTAACCCACTTGCCGAGCGTGGCTATTATGGCAAATATCCCCCTATGAGGCAATGGGGGAGGCCTATGTCCAGCAGTGGACTTTAATAGGCTGTAACGGTAACGGTAATAAAATAACGTATATTTCATCATAGCTTTATTTATATATCAACTTTAAGGTCACGGTCCACTACAACCGCACATACTATGAACGTGTTATGAACGTATCAGACACGACAAAAACACGACAGAAACACGGTCATTACTATATCAACAATGTATCAACATCGTACAATAAGTGTACTACGACTATGATGGCCGTTCTATCAGTTGTAGCTTATTTTGTTCAGAAGGCGCGTCAGGAGGCGCAAAGAGTGTCGTCTAGCCAAGCCTATCATAGCCCGTAACTGATCATAGGCCTCTTCAAAAATTGCCTGATAAGCATATTTGCAATAGTTGTCACACTTGGCAGGCGTGTTGGCGACTGAAGTTTTATTTTCTAGTTTTTTGTTAGGAAGGCGCTGCTGCCCATCCGAGTTTGTTTTCTTCTGTTGTCTATTGCGATAGTCAAGAGACGATATGGGTAGTGGATATTCTTACACCGCCACTACACGGTGTTTAGGATACTCTTAGCCACCATGTGGGGTACACGGTATATATACTAAAATGGCTATACGGTGGCTATTGACTATTGAAAATTATCTGTAATTAGCAATTATTACTATTATTTTGAACAACAGTGACCATACGCGATTATAACGCGTTTATCCGCTTGCATAGAGCAGTTCGGCAACGTGGGCTGTGTCATCAAAATCATCATTACAGCCTTTCACAAGTTCACTCCTGAACATGGGTCTCCTCCAAGGAATGCCACAAAGCATGTTCCTGAGTCACCTGCATCCATCGACTTTCTGCATCTCTTATCAGGTCGTCACTCTATCAAGTAGGTGTCATCCTACACTTAGTTTCCCGGGCTGCTACTATTAATTTATATTAATAATATTTTTTGTATGTGCCGAAACGGTTACGGTCATGTTATGGAACGTTTTTTTTATAGGATAAGGGTGACAAACGAGCACACAGTCCATCTGATGGTAAGTGATTGCTGTGGCCCATATCTTCGATTACGAATCAAATTGCAGATGCGTTGTCACCCGTGAGGACTAAGATGGAAAGCCTCGTTTCCAGTAAAAAGGGTTTCCGGTTCTCTACACTCACCAAATGGAACACTACAGCATTAAGCTGCTATTTTACGCTGGTATTCTGTGAGAGCGTGGTGCTTCCCTGGTCGAGCCAACCCATTCGTGCTATAACTATACAATTAATATAGCTGTAGCATGGTTCTACCACATTTTATATAGTTGCAGCATGGCTCTACCACGTTTTATCACATTTATGTGAGTTCTACAAGGCAAAAGTAAATAGGCTTTTATTATACTAAGTCAGTGTGCTTTACATTACAATATTCGTCTGCACCATCACCTACGTTCAGGTGGGATAGTAGTAAAGCACTGTCTTATAATGGATAAATAATTAAAAAGTTATTAATGTGGTATGTGATTTTATAACAGTAGGAATTATTACCAATAAAAAGGAATAAATGTTAAATTTTATATTCCCGGTCGAGCCAACCCATTCGCGTTACAACTATACCAGAAATATACCTGCAGCGTGGCTCTACCACGTATAAACGTTGTAGCAAGGAGAGACCTTTTTATTTTTTTAGGACGAGGAGGTAAACGAGCTTACGGTTCACCTGATGGTTAGTGATCACCATCACATTCAGATGTCGTATCGTCTACATCGACCATGTTATAGTAGTCCGCAGCTATGATCGTGTCATGTTTTCCTAGACTAAAGAAAATATAACCATTTCGTTTTGCGGAATTTGTAAAATAATTCTACAAACCTTCTTCTAAGCCTAATTCTTCTTTGCTAGCATCTTTCTTTTCTTCGCCGTCTATCGTGTCCGCGGAGCCTTTATGACTCTCATCCTTGAAAGATCTTATCTTATGACTTCCGTACGATTTTTGACTGATCGTATCATCATCCTGCCAACATGTTATCAGTAATTAAAACTAGCTCCTTATCAGATGTAAGATTTTGTCTTTTTAATAGACAAAATTTGTCACCCACAAACGAGCACGCAGTCAACAGTGTGATGATTGTGGATGCTGTAGCCAATATAGATACATTTTAATTCTTAATCGAGGATAGATGTAGATCTATCCTGAAATGTAGATGCATTGTCACCCCTGAGGACTAAGATGGAATGTCTCGCTTCCAGTAAAAAGGATCTCCGGTTCTCTTCACTCAGCACACGAAAACAAAGCAGCACTATAAAAAAAAGCACTTAGTTGCTATTTTACGCTAGTTATCTGTGATGCAACTAGAGTAAAATTTCGCTCTTCCCCGGTCCAGCCGACCCATTCGTGTTGCAACCACAATACAGCTGCAGTTTGGCTCTACCATACGTGTCAAAATCTATGTCAACGTAGACATCTATGTATGCACTGGATGTAATGTATATATGCACGTAATGTTATAAATAATGTTATAATGTTACCTGTATCGGATATCCATGATGATTTAAGTCACAATTGATTCTATTATCAGTATGATTATCTGTTATTGCATTTATATTATTAATTAATATTTTTCCTTTCTTGTATTTGTTGTCACCTGAAATTGAATTTGAAGAATACTGATTACATTTATTCACGATGTACTCGTAAATTGCTGACGTAAAGTATTTTTTTGAAAAAGGCAATTACCTGGTATGGTGAACTCCATGCCATCGCCAATTGCAACTTCAACTTGGTCTTTCAACTTCTTGTCCTTGTATAGGACTCCGTCATCGATATCTGCTCCTAGTTCTAATTCGTTGTCAACCCGTTCTGAAGAGACACAGCGGCCGCATAAAGCCGCCTTTAAGCCTAATTTTCGCGTCATTCCACCGTGCGTCAACGCCGCCAGCACCCAAGCATAGAAATCAGACCAGGACGAAATAACATACGATATGTATTCCAGTCAATACAACTTCTTAAGTCACGATAAGGCGTAATGATGAAAATAACATAAAGATTTTTGACATGCACTATTAAATTATATTATACTTTTTTTAATGTAATACGTATAAATGAGAAACGCAATTTTTTCCGAAGTGAGGCTTCAAAGTATTTAACAATAAGAGAACATAATCAGTCTTATTCCAAAAAATGTTTTAGTACTGGGTTAAGTTTAGGAGTAAGAAGTCCAGGTTTGTTACAATATTCTAGTTAATACCAGCACTAAAACGTGTGCTTATTACAAAACGCAGACTACCCGAGGACCAGTTAATACCAACGTTAGTATTATATTAAATATCATTCACAGATAAAAAACAAAAAATGACACTCTATCATTCGTTCATACAGGTTTCATTCAATGCAACGTTCGGTTTCATAAAATATTAATATTATTTTCACATTTAATTATGCTTAAATAATTATCCATCAATACAAAAACATATCATACATTGTTATTTGTTTACGTTAAAATCTATTGAACAAGCACGACATATACTTTTGACGCGCTTTTGATTATATCAAGTTGTTTTCAGTTTAACAACTCTAGCGTGAAATGTAGTGAATTACAGAGGTAACGCGAGCGCGGGATTTGAGACGTTCAAAATAGTTTATATTGCAGCCTTATAATAAGTAAATTAAATTATTAATAATTAATTAAGTACTTGCTATTACAGTTATATTTATATAATAATGGAACAAAAGAAAAAACGGGGTGAAAATTGGAGTTCTGAAGAAAAAGTTAGTGAAATATCGAAATTTGTCAGTACGTAGCAATACTCTTATCCTCCTATTATCCTTATTTCAACTAAAAGGAATGTTCTTATTATTATAGGAAATATTACGTACACTTATTTCACAATCAGCACATATAATAGAGAATAAGTCGACAAAAACATCGGTAAATATTCAAAAAATAAAAGAGTGGAAGAATATAACTAATAAGTAAGTACTTATCGCATTTGTTATGTGTACAAATAGGTATGGTATTGTTTACGTGATTTCGTATTTTTTTTTAGATTTAATGAGATAACAGGTAAACGCCGATCAGATGGTGAATTGAAATTATCTTGGAAAAGAACGAAGTTGTGTGCTAAATCAAACTTATACACATATAGGAGGAAACAATCAAAGACCGGGGGTGGCGGAAAACCTCCATCACCTTCTCTTGAGGACTTGGAAATAATGTCCATTGCCCCTCACGACTTTATCGTTGAAGTAAATAATTATGATAGTGATGCAGTGGTAAATAAAATTACTTACATGTCTTACAAATTTAATTAAAATTAAAGAACTTTATTTTCCATTACTTTAGTACCTAAGTAGTGCTCTGAAATCTACTCTTAAAGCATACAATTTACAATCCAAAATTATTTTCCGAATATTCAAAATTTAATATACTTAGTAACAATTTAACATAAATTTCTTTATAATTAATTATATTCAAAATTGAAATGTCACAAATTCATATATAGTGGTCTATATAATATCATAACACACATTTTACTAGATTATCTACACAGTCCGATTATAATTTTCTATTTTTGTCTATTAGGTATTATAATTAATAATTTATTAAATTACCTTTTGTCTTGGATCATAATAATATTTCTACAACATAGAAAATACCTGATTCAATAAAGGGCAAAATAGAGATGACAGGTGACAGGAAAACATGTTAATAAATGTTTTAATGATTTATTTTAGGATCCAGTGACTGTGGCTACAACATCAAAAGAAGTTGCTGACCCTAAGCCTCGCCTTAATTTTGAAAAAACAGACACAGCTATAGTTAAAAATGTAGAAAATCCAGAACCCAATGTTGTATATGTGCAAGGTAAATAATACTGATTGAATATTTATTAAAAAGCAAAATATATTATTATTATAGTTACAATCATATGCATACAAGTTTGTAAATATTATAAATGTTAATTTTCTAAAACTGTTATATTTATATTAATTTTTAGAGATAGATCCAACTACAGATACAGAAGAAAGTGCCAAAATGGTGAAAATAACCAACAATAAAGATATTATTACTAGGGGTATAACAAAAATTAAAAACAGGAAAAATAGCTTGCAAAATAGGTATGTTGAAAAAATTACATAGTCTGATACATTACATACTTTTTAAAATGTGAAAATTAGTATTTAAACACTGAAAATTGTTTCATGTTTTCAAATATTAAAAGCAAAGTTTAATATGAATTGATTTAAAAATAATTAAAAAATATTTCTTTAATTGGTGTACAAGGTTAAGTGCACTTTTATTACTCTAGAATACTTTGTAAATTTCTAAAATAACTACAAAACTTACATTAAGTATTCCATTTCATTTTACAGAAGAGAAGATGTACACCAAACAATTGTAAAAAGTAACACAGATTTTAAAAAAAGACAACTGGAAATGATGGAAGAGGAACATAAATACAATATTAAAATAGCTAACCTAAAAATTAGAAAATTAGAGTTACAAATATTTTTATTAGAAAGTCAGAAAAACACAAGTTAAATAGCAACTTAATGCTGCTGTGTTTATTATGGTGAGTTTATAGAATGAGAATAGAATAGAATGATTTTTATTAAATATAGATTATTACAGAATACTTATTGAAAGACTAAATACTAGTAAGAAACCCAGCGGGACTTTTTTATAAACATATTTCTCTTAACAATAATTTTATTTGTACAATTTTTAAATGAATTTTAATAGAACCACCATGGTGGCGATCACCTCAATTCCAGTATTTCCAATATTCTCATTTATGTATTCTTTGATATTATAATAACCTTTTTATAAAATTTTTCTTTAGTAAAACATTTAAACTTGTTTATTGACAAATTTTCGATAAATTTTTGTACAAAGTTTGTATGAGAGAGACCTCTTTTACAGGAAACGAGGCATTCCATCTTACTCCACACGGGTGACAACGCATCTGCATTTTGATTTGTAGTCGAGGATAGATGTGGACGTCTATGCACCACAGCAGTTACTTAACATCAGATGGACTGTGTGTGTGTATGTGTGTGTGTGGTAGACTGTGTTTATCACCATTATCCTATAAAAAAAACTAAATATTTGAGACTATATCAGATACATGTTTGTAAATATCCTCATATATGAAACAATTATTTTCAGGTACTAAATTGCTGCAAATATTTGTACATCTTTTATTAATAATTAAAATAAATAATTATAATTAATATGCATTTTATTTACATAACAATGAAATATAATATACAATAGTAAAAAACTATAATAAAAAAAACTAAACCTAATTACTTAGTCATCATACAGTCCTACTCCCCGTGGACCCTTGCACCTCTGGAAAGGAAATCTGGCTGTGAATGTAGAGGAGGGACGATATTTATTAAAAAATCTAAACATATCTCTAAAGCACTTAAATCTTTATATAATATAGCTTCATATTGATGTGGAATGTGCTGTACCCCGCATCTTTCCCTGAAACACAATCATTTATAGCCTAAATAAAAGCATTTTGCTCAATAAATGAAATATTATCACAATACTCCCCTGAATTTATTTCATATTGGTGAATATGTAGTCGTTATTCTTTGACAGCTGACAACGGCTCTGCAGAAATATTTTCCTTTATAAATGGGTATTATCTCTGAAATCAAAAAGAAATATTATTATAATTGTCTTATACATTTATTGATCCTTAATGTAATTTTATAGCCAAAATTGGCCTCTGAATAACAAAATAAAATAAATTATATATACATAGCTTTAGACAATTGAAAAAAAATTGACAATTTTATAAATATAATTATTAATTTTAATTATAAATAGCTATATAAATATGTAAAAAAAAATGTTTACCTACTGAAAATGAGTTTCAATAAACTGTCTTCTTCTAATATTTCCCCTTATTGATGGTGCAATATATCTTTGTACTATAGGTTCAGATGAATATTGTTCAATGCTATCTCTCTCACCAGAAAACACATCTTCTCTCATGTCGATGGCCATATTGTGTAGTACAGCACATGCAACAATTGTTTTTTTTGCTGTTTCAATATCTCCAAACATACCTCTTAATAGGCAACGAAACCGTTGCTTCCACAAACCAAAACATCTTTCCACTGTGTTCCTGGTACGGATATGGCTCCTATTATATCTTTCTTCTTGTGGTGTTGTGGGGTTCAGCAGCGGTGTAAATAGGTAAGGGGTACAAGGATAGCCACTGTCACCAAGTAATATTCCAGAGAATGCACCAGCCTCAAACCTCTGTTTTAGTCTACATTCTCGGAATATTCTGGAGTCATGTACACTACCACGCCACCTGGTAACAATGTCCATGATTTTCAGGTCAGCGTCACAAACCACCTGTAAAATAAGAGCTCATTAGTACTTTATGTTTTTCTGGTTTATTTTAATATATATTTATTACCATAAGATAGTCAAACAAATTATTTTCTATTATGATAAAGTAAAGTTATTAAGAGACAATCACAGCTATTTAAAATATTTGTATATTACCTGTACATTAATTGAAGAAAATCCTTTTCTATTAATATATAACTGACCCCCATCAGCATTCACTTTCTTTACTCGTATGTGAGTACAGTCAATTGCGCCAATTACTGTAGGAAAATTAGCAATACTGCGAAATTTCCTAATGGTTTCCTGCTGTTCATTTAAAGTAGTAGGCATTTTAATAAATTCTCGGGACTTCCGTGACAAAATTTCCGCTACTTTTTTACATGTCCTACTTACTACTGGTTGAGACACACCATGTAAATCAGCTGTATCGTCTTGAATCTACGAATAAAACAATAATATGTATTATCTGGCTTTTTATCTAGCGTAATGTTAGGTACATTGACCCCACCAAGATTATAAACAGCACTTACTTCATGGCGAGCCCAGTTGCGTAATGCACAAACCACTTGAATTTCAGGACTCAATGGGCATCCTCGAGGGTCGTGCACTAAATCCTCACGTAAGATACCCACTATTTTTTCTCCGAAACGTTTTGAGAACCTATACTTATACCTAAAATCTTCGTCACTCAATTCAAACGGATTCACACGATGTCGATGTCTATCAAGTCGCCGAGTAGTGTCTAGCATGTCCAAATCTTCTAGATCCATCAAGTCAATCATGTTAATATCCATTTTTAACGATTTTAATAACACCAAATGAAAACAACGCTCACCTCAAATTAAGAAGTACCGAAATTGAGGTTAGTATAGAGTAGAGTACCACAAACTATATAGAAAGGTTAGTACCATAGCTAAACTAGGGGTCTCGAAAGATTAACTTTAATACCATAGATAATCCTTGAACCAGAGATAATCTTCGTTTTGTAATAACGTTTTTCTTAGTTTATGGTTTAAATATATTACTAACTCCAGTACTATATTAAGTCCGTGTTTTGGAATAAGGCGGATTAAGTTTAATAATCTTGTCTGTAACAATATGTACCTAATTTTGTTTTTTTTTTTCTAAACATTTTTTTTTATAGTAAATATTAAAGAAGGATGTACTAACTTGTAAGATTATTTATATTTTACAATTTTGATTTTTACACAAGATAATTAAGTTGTTTTTTTTTTAATTTGGTATTCTTTCCGTAAATATTTAATATTTTAAAAAGTTTCTAAGAAAATGACTACTAATTTTTTTTTTCTTTAAAACTTAAATCTAAAATGGCGGTTACGAAAACATTTAAACTGAAACAAATCCAGTGAGTAATCAAACCATAAAATCATCAATTGGAAACTTCAAACATACATAAATAATAACACACACATCAAAACACACATTTTAATTGTTTACTTAACATAACATGCACGAACTGGGACACACATAATATACAATGCGAGTAATATTTTTTTTTGTCATATTTATTTCATAGTACTAACATAAAAGACAGCAGTTAGAATAGAATAGAATATTAAATTAGTCTCAATAATAATATTTCCACAGTTTACCGTGTAGTGGCGTAGTAAGAAATCCACTAACCAATATCATCCCGTGGGTGTCGTTAGAGGCGATAGAGGAAAACAAATCAGGTGATGGGTATGGCGTCTTCCTAAAAACAACTAAAATAAAAAAAAAACTGCGGTTACCAAACCGCTTGCGTGGCAACTTTGGCAAATATCCGCCCTATGAGGAAATATATGGGGGAGGCCTGTGTTCAGCAGTGGACTTTAGTAGGCTATAACGGTAACGGTTATATTCCCACAGAAACGTTTACTTAACGTTTTGACCATATATTTGATTTCAACACAGAAGAAGGATATTTCTTATAGTTGCCACGCTTTGGCACCCGCTGTTTTTATCGTCCATTCATTTATTCATCACAGCCCACCAAAGTCAACTGCTGATTACAGGCCCCCATAAATTGGCTCATAGGCGCGATATTTAGCAAAGTTGCCACGCTAGGGATGTATAAGGGAAAATAATATATCGATATTTTTAAACAGTATCGATATATATCGCGTGATAAATATCTATATATCGTCATGATTTTATATTTTATATTACTGACGGTTAGACAACGAAAAAAAAACCGACAACCAACCACACATGAATACTTTTGTACCTCCTTTTATTGTTACGTTTTGTCATTAACACAACATTTTAAAATATATCGAAATTGATATGATTTCGATACTCTAAAATAAATATCGATATTTTTATTTAAAATAAAAAAATAATCGGCAAAAAATATCGATATTTTATTAAAAAATTATCGCTATTTCGACATATCGATATTTTTGCCCAAGCCTATGCCTTGACTGGCATCACGAAGACGCTGCTGCCCATATCCCGTTTCATTTCCCTCTGATGCCGTGGGTGTCGTAAGAGGCAACTCTCAATCATAATATATCTTAGGAATACTCTAACGCCACTACTCTACCACACGGCGATTTGTTATTATTGAATTGTTATCAGTACATTTAATACTGTATCGGTTTCGTTTATACGCTTTTTTTAAAATAGTGTTTTATAAGTTTTTTTAGTAAGTTTAAGACGAGTTTGTTTTTATGTAAGGATGCCAACAGCTCATCGTGCGGAAAGTGGGAAAGGGAAGGAGGGTTCGCAGTATCAGATGTTACGCATTTTAGACGTTGCCATAAGTTTTTATTAGAATTTTGTTAATTAGACGGTTATTCCGTTTAATTCTAATGATCAGTCGGCGGCTGCAAGACTGTATTTTCTTAGGCAAGCCTTACGATATCCATGGGATATATTGGAATTGGATTAGTTGGATTGGATTATTTTGAGCTGCCAAAAATCAGCACAGTATTTCCAAGCTTTAAGTTTAGATACAGCAATGAACGAGTATCTCTACAGATGTGTAGATATATTGTTTTACCTAATAAAATATCGAGACTAATTTAATATGTATTGTCAAAATAAAAATAAACAAGGATTACGATGAGACCAAGAGCGTATCGACAAGGAATTCAACAGGTCTGAAATATCTACACTTGACTGCAAGGACACAAGCAACGCACAGTGGTGACATGTATTTTTATAGTAGCAACGTAATACATATCACACCATTAGGTAGGATTATCACCATTTGTAAATAAGCAAAAATGTTTAGTTATTTTTAATTAAATTTTTAATAAAATTTTATAGTTCTTTATTTTATACGTTACGGCAGTAAATAGTTAAATAAAAATTTAATTGCCGGTGATAATCCTCCATATAACACACATGCTGACAATCAAATGAACTTTCCCAAGACAACTGGTTCTTCCTTGATTAAAAACTTATATTATGTACTATGTAAAATGCAATTGATGTTGAATAACTTTTCAATATCAAAACCCCATTTAATACACTTATTCTCATATTTATACTAACTACTATAATGTTGTAATAGATTTCAAGAAAAAAAAATTCGCTTAGCTTCAACTTTGATAAAGATACTCAAAAATGACTTTTACTTGGAATTGCTTTTCCTTTCAGGTAATAAGCAGTACGAGGGGTCATTTTTAATGACAGCTGGTAGTAATTTTTTTTTTTTGCTTTTGTTTTATATTGTAGAAGTTTATTATAATAACGTACGCATCATACTTGGCCTAAATAATAATTGCCTACTGAATTATAAAATATATAACAAAATGACAACATTTTCTGGTATATATTTCATGTATTTATTCTATTGTTGTTACATCAACAGATCCCCTTTTAGTTAAAACATTAATATATTTTTGTATATTTCTTTAAGAAGATTTATTATGGAAAACTGAAAGGAACCAGAGTAATTAGCAGTTATAACGACTAGAAAGAACCATAACATAATACACGTAGGTAATGCATGCGACACCTAAGCTGCGACACACACATACATACACACACGCACACACACAACTTACCGGGAGCGTGTATGGCTATTTGGTTGGTGAGTTTAACTTTTAACAACTTGAGTATGTCGGCAACATTGCGTTTCACCCAGTCAATAAACCTAGATATTCTGTTGAAGGCCTCTGCGATCTTATTGGTGTCCTGATCAGCTGTAGGTGTGGACAGACTTGACGAACCGAAATTTGAGAGTAACAGAGCCAAGAAAAGATTGAGTACCTGTAAAATTGTTTAATTTTGTCGATGTACATTTTATAAAAAAGCTAGAACACACAATCATATTTTATTAGTATAAGAAATATGTTTTGATCTTGTTAACAATAATTTTTGCTCCTTAATGTTGAATGCGAATCCTAATACTTATTCGTTGATGTAATAATAATAATAAATTTTGTTGGGATTCCAATTTAATAATACCTTAATTTATAATACTAGTAAATTTTCACATAATCTTTATATATAAAAATTACGTGTCACATTATTTGTCCGCGATGAACTCCTAAACTATTGAACTGATTTCAATGAAAGTTTGCACACTGTGTGCAGTTTGGTCCAACTTGAGAGATAGGATACTTTTCATCCCGGTAAGTGACCTTCAATATTTTTTATTGCGAATTTAAGGATTTTTTCATAGGAAGGGTCGTCAGAAATAGCAGAACTACGTCTGCCTGGCCAACTAGTTTAATATAAAAATAATTATTTTTGTGTTTTTACAGCAACATTTTGCAATTACCACATTACATGTTACCAATAGTTGGTGTTGGCTATAAAATGGTGTCAAAGTAACATGTGGTAACCAACGACGTATTAAAAAGATAGACAGGTTACACACTAACATTATTGTATTTTAAAGTGGCGCAGGTAGTAGGTACTATATCTACGTATAGTTATTTATTATCACACGTTGCGCTTAATAGTTTAAAAACATCTTAGGTGGTAACAGCAAAAATAGTCTCGTTATTATCATTGATAAGCTCAAGATTTAAAAATATGAAAACGAGAAAACTTATAAACGTACGTATGCATTTGATCCTTCGAGCCATGTTATAAAGTATAAAACGACACCAAGAAAAAGCTTTTGTAAGTATTGACGTTAAATTAGCTTTAATCCCCTAAATCGTACAAATCTTATATTCTTGTAGTCAGGCTAATAATCACACTGTAACTTAAAACCATCATTTAATTTCAAATTGATTTGTTTAACCATTACCAACAATTGATATTGTACTAGAATTATAGAAAATTTAAGACTTGTTTCGTACAGTAAATCGAACAATTGTTTTAATGTATGTATTTTATAAATAAAAATCTTTACTTTTAACGGGCACATTAACACAGAATTGACATTTTACGTATAATACTAACCACAAGATTGCCGATGACCACTGTCGCCAAAAAGAAGGGAATGCACGACACATCGCCTACCAGCATACAGTCCCACATGCTCTCAATCCACTCTCCGCATAGCACTCGGAACACAATCATGAAACTGTGCATAAAGTCCGTAAAATTCCATCTGGGGAGGTCACCGTCCGGAAAACGGTCCACATAGTCTGCGTAGAAATTATTTTTATATAGCTGAGGGTGATTTTAAAAATTATTACAAAATTAGGACTCAATTTTGGGCAATTAATTAGCATAGCATTTTGCTCAAGACAGCTTTTAAAACATTTAACATTGACTAAGCTGTGAATTTATACTCAAAATTTGCAGGCAAAAAAAGTATTGTACTATTATTCACTTTGTAGAGTGCAAAGGTAACGGAGATAAAACATAACCAGACACAAAATAAGTTACGAGTACCATTAAACACTTCATTTGTAACGCATTTAGTTTTTAGTAATAAGTTAATATTTACCACTGTCTAACCTTAAGAGATATTACTCAATAACTTTTTGAAAAATAGAATTTTGACTTATTTGACACCTAAAGCAACGTTTTTAGGTACCTAGTCTTATTTATAAAAATAATTTCTTAGAAAGCAATATGCGACATATGTACATATATTATATAATATTATCTTCATATTATTTTAAATATTACTTATTATGCCTTCTAAGTGTTTTAAATTGGAAAGCCAAATTGGATTCCTTGAATAATTTCAGACATGCTAGCAGTAGATGCAAATGCTGTACTCGTAGTTTTGAAATATTCGTACGATAATATGTACGAATTTGATCTAGTTAATATTAAATAAACGTAACGTATTAAGATGTTCAATATCTGGCATAAATCACAACATTTCAAAAAAGAATAATTATATTGTAACAGTAACACTTTTTTATAAAATTGCTGAAAACGTGTGTTTCGTTAAAATAAATGGCGAGTGTCCTTACGACAACTGAAAATAGTTGCAGCGCCTGCATCTAATGCTACCATGTTAATTGATTATATAAGTATTTACAGTAGTCTTATTCCCAATAAAAAAGCATAATTATCAGTATGATAAATAATATATTTTTGTATATAAGCAATTATAAAGCAGGAACTTCGTTACCGAGGCAATGCTTTTATTGAATGTTGTTAAACCAGTCGAAAGTTACGTTAGGAAAGTCAAGTGGCGTTTTTGTGTCTACCGAAAGTTGTGATTTGTGTTGAAATAAAGTAACAACATACTTTAATTTTAGTTTAGGAAATTTACTTTTTATTTAAATATTTTTACATTACAGTAAAAACTATTTAAACATTGAAAGGAATTTAACATATATTAACAAAAAATCATCCGAACGATATCCCTGCTTTATTATATACATATTTACGAACTTTATCATGCGTCAATTTTAAAAGTAAATTATTTAGATACAAAGTACCTTACATAAGATCACATGCATATGTATTAAGGCAATACACCTACGTCACATCACATTTCTACAAGATTTAAGCGCTTATAGAATAAAAGGGAAGTGATAAACAAAAGGTACACGACAATGGTTTGTGCTACAAAGGAAAAGTAAGATGAAAGAAGCGATAATTAGCGTCATCGTTTCACAAGTGAGGCGCCTTTCTCGGGGCATAGAAACCGGTAATACAATTTATATACAGATATATAATAGAGTTAAGGCTCACTTGGAAGGGTCACATCGAGTCTTGCCAATCTTCTAACAGGAAACTGAGCATTACAGTGTGACGCACATCAACAATTACTATTTAAACATAGCGGTGGCCCCGCTTAAAGTGTGGAATGAAACGGTCAATCGAAAAATTTTATTTTCTGCAGGTTCCGAAATTATATCCACACTTTATGTATATTCAGTGAATGTATTTCATAATCAATGTACATCGACCAATAAAAATAAAATAAAAACTCACGTAATTTGTCGATTTGTACGTTTTTTTTTTAAGTAAGTAGCTGTTTATGTTTTATCCAAAACGTTGTAACATAAAAAGCGTACACTATGAAATACATTCACCAGCAGTCCGTAGGGCCCGCACCGCCAACGGCCAAACACCAACGAACATGCAACATCCCACCAATGCCACTTACCCACGTAATTTTTCCCGAACAGTTGCATACCCATCACCGCGAATATGAAAATAATGATGCACAATACGAAGGTGAGGTTGCCCAAGGCACCCATCGTCCTACCCATTATCGAGATGAGTAAATTAAGTGTCGGCCACGACTTTGCCAATTTGAATACTCGAAGCTGCAATTACAAATTGTGAAACAAGGCGTCACACAAGCTCGCTTACCGGCGCTTCACCTATGCTACTGCTATCATCCGGAGACCCCGAATCACTCACGGTATCAGTTGATTGCGATCGTTCGACCCTGTCCGGTGAGGTAGGTAAGTGATTCTGAATCGAGTAAAAATATGCAAATGTGTGCTGGAGGTAACCTATCGAAGTGTGCATTCGTTATTAATATGATTGGGATTTATGTTCCGTCGTCCTTTGATTGACATTATAGATTTTTTTTTAATTATGTTTGAGTCGAATTGACATAGATCCCATCAGCGGACGACCTGATCAAAATATCCTTGGTAAGCAAAGCTGCATGTCAAATCTAAGATACTGTATGCAAAGCTCAACTCATGATCTCAAGCGGCGTGGTATAGCTTTATAACGTGTCTCCTCTCGGGCCCACTCGCACGATGGAGCCACTTCAAGTTTATTATAAAGCCACAGCGCGAGCCTCCCGCCCTTCATGAATAATGGTCAACCAAAGCCCCGTGTAAATTATTAGGGAGTGTGAAGCTTAATAATCGATAATGAAGCTGAGGTCTTTAATTAGAGATGCTAAATTTTCTTTCATATTGAACCTGTATAGTTCTTCCCAAACAACTGCATTCCCATCACCGCGAATATGAATATAATGATGCAAAGTACAAAGGTCAAGTTCCCTAAAGCGCCCACTGTCCTACCCATTATGGATATTATAAGGTTTAGCGCCGGCCAAGACTTAGCCAGTTTAAATACACGCAGCTGAAAATATATTATTGCATACATTTACATATATTCATTAGCTGGAAGTCTGTTCATTATGCTAAACTTAAGCTATAATTTATTAATTGTATACAATACATCAAGATAAACTGCTGGAAATAAATTTATTATTAATGTACATTTTGCTTACTTGCAGTAAAAAGTTAAAAAAGTTTTTTTTTTTAAATTTTGGTTATTATTTATATCATAAAATGAAATCCACCTTACTTAAAGGTGAATTTTCTCTTGTCAACAGTGGCGTAGCACGGGTTAATGCGACCCGGGGTTGTTAGAGCAAAAAATGCCGCCTATCACCCCCTGTCCAGCATTATTGTAATATTAAAAAAATATAAAATCGGTAAAAGTTTTCTAAAATGTTTGCATATTACTTAAAAATTGTTTTTACAATATATTTTATGTAATTTTATGCTCGTTGGTAAGCCTCGGCAAGTGTGTGGGTTTGTGTGAGTAGAGATTTTATTGGCAACATTTAAAATGTTAGGGCGGGTATTTGAATTTTCTTTTCCAAAATGCTGCCCTCTAGTCTGCCGGCCGGGCCGTGACCACCGCCTCCTCCCCTTGCTACGCCACCGTTTATCAATATAATTAACAAGATCTGTTGATACGAGTTTAAAATAAGATTCATGGTTTCAACAAATTTGCAAGACTTACCAAACGAAACGAACGTAACACAGACAAACCCTGAACGCCTTCTAAACCCAACTCCAGTAGTGATAGGGCGACGATGATAAAGTCGAAAATATTCCATCCCTCTTGAAAATAATACTTTGGACTCATGGCTATTAGTTTTAGCATTGCTTCTATTCCGAATGTTGCAGTGAAAAACTAAAAAAAATAATAATTATGCAACTTCGAGAAGAAACGTAAGGAACTAAGAAATCAATTTTTTTTTCTAGTGCAATGAAAAAAAATGCAAAGTTCTTCAATACATTTTATACGTGGTAGAGCCACGCTGCAGCTATATTATAGTTGTAGCATGGATCAGCTCGACCGGGGAGGGACCGCGCTTTTATAGAATACCAGCGTAAAATAGCAGCTCAACGCTGATGTGTTTCGTATGGTGACTGTAAAGAACCGGAGGCCCTTTTTACTGGAAACGAGACATTCCATCTTAGTCCTCACGGGTGACAAAGCATCTGCATTTTGATTCGTAATCGAGAATAAATGAAGATGTCTATGCGCTGCAGCAACCACTTATCATCAGGTGGACTGTGTGCTCGTTTATCACCCTTAAATTAATTAAAAAAATAATTATAGATAGTGTAAACATTGTCCATATGGTGCGTTAAATATGAATTATAGATGTATTTTGCTGTATTGACTTTGTTTTAACTTACTAGATCAGGCCCAAGGCAATTTTTTGCTAGAGCCCTGGAGCTTCCACAAGGGAAGGACCACAATATAAGTTTTTTTTTTTGGTAAAATTAGCTAATTATTAGTAGCAAAGTTTAAAGAAACTACGATAAGACAAAACCGCATTTCAACTAATATTGAAAGTGATTTATTTTAGGAGCTTTTAGTAAAATTATAAATTAATTTTTATGGAATTTAATTTTTCTTATGACATGATGTATTTTACAACTGTCGGATATTAGGACTTCATTGAAATAAATCATTGTAATAATTCTTGGTCCTATAACCTATTTAAATCTAGCTTTGCTTAGATAGGGTCCGGAATACCTCATAGTTGTAAACTAAAATTTTGTTGGTACTTACGTAATTGCCACTCTTTAGTGCCTTATCCATATCCTTGTCCATATTGTGATGGTCTAGAGCCATGAACAACGTGTTGACGACGATACACAGTGTGATGAACAGTTCGACGAAAGGATCGAACACAAGTAGCGCGACGTATTTCTGAAACTCCAGCCACAACCAACAGCAGTCCCACACACAGAAGAAGTCTATTCCTTTCATTAAATATTCTAGGAGTCTTTCCTTAAGCGTGGGTCCGTCCTCATCGTCTTCTGCTGTTGGGAAGTAGTATACTGACACTGTGGTTGCGTCCCGTTTACGTACGTGTGTGTGTGTTGAGGAGGGAAGACAGAAATAAATTTGTTAGTATTCGCTCATTATTTCTACTCATATTACTACTGCACCGAGACACTGTTTCAATAACAATCTCTACATCTTTGCTTACTTCAATATCATCGATAAAGTTCATTATAATTCATTGGCTAATCCCTTCACTATTATACCTACTATTTAAATAAAGTTAACAAAAATTGAAGTTAAAAAAAAATATTATATATAATTAAATTAGTTTATAGTTTTAAATACCTCGGTGCCAATAGTATTTATCATAACAATTCCATAGAGCTCAATATTCATATTTTTGTTTCACTGTAGGCTGTCATTTACATCAGTAGATTTAGAGAAGTAATGGCGCCAAAATTTATTACAGTGGAATTCTATCACACATACTATATGTTGGTAATGGAGTGCAACATAAGTTAAGAATAGAATGCCCAGAAATTAATTTCAGTCTTGTTGGCTTTAATCTGCAGCAAAGCATCTTCTACCTGTAGTAGGTATTTATCTACTTAGTACCTACTATGCGCGTTACTGTACTTATGTGGCTTAATTTATTTCGAATGGCCAAAAATATGAATATCGTGATTTCCAATACGCTAAGAAGCCCTTACCTTGAATATTAATAACTTAATTTTATTATGACAATGAATAATATATTTCAAAAGTTTAAGCTCGCAAAAGCTTCGCGTAGAACCTTAAGAGCTAAATTTAATAGTGCAATAAAAGCAATTAATTAATTTGTCATGCCATCTACTAGTAAACAATTTATGTAAAAATTTAAATAAAACTTGTATTAAATACGTGTTGTCACAGTTTTTAAATATAAAATGTAATAAAAAATAATCGTGCTTGAATTCCTGCTTCCTTCGAATACGTTAAGTACGTTTTTAACTAACAAATAAGACAGTTTTAGCATTAATAATCGTCAACTTTAATTGACCCGTATTAACTTAAAACTAGACAAGCCAATATAGAAATATAAAGCATTGCTATTCTTAATTATTCATAAAAATACATGGATCTGATGTACAAATATCGCGCTCGAAAGTAAAAAAAAAAGAAAAGCTAAGAAAATACAAAGGCTAATATAAAAGCTAATAAGCGTGGTAGAATACAAATGTCAATGGTTTTGTTAAGATCAGTTATTCATTACAAATCTATTTGGTCAATTTCATAACACTTTTACACATTGAGAATTATAAATATAGTCTACTGTGGGGGTGAAATTTGGAAAAAAAAAACGTGAGAATTTCGGAGGAACTATGTGTAAATATTTTATTTCCTTACGTGAAGGTGCTTATTATATCGTAAACCAATGGTGATAATAAATGACACCTACGTCTGACCATTTTTTAATAATTTTGCCAATTATGCTTTTTGAATGCATAATGAGCAAATACCTGTGTTCCTTTGTGTTCGTGTGCATGTATATTTGTAGAAAGTGACAGTATTTATTGCATGTGTTGGATGTTAAAAACAGAACAAATATTAAATTTAAAAAGCGAACACGCAGCTGTAAAGAACATTTATAAAAATGATTAACGGTAAAATAAAAAGGTACGCAACAAGACAACAACAACGACATGACATTAACATCAGCAGAAGGAATTAAAGACAAAGGCTTGAAACACAAAAGTCATTTTTAATTTTGTCAACTTTCGTACCATTCTGCTCGCTCGCCCTACTTTGTCTGCCAGCTTGTTCAATGATTTCATTTAAAACCATAACATCTGAAAAAGAAGAATTATGATCAACTAAGTTAATTATCTTTAATAAAACAGTCAGTCTATAACAGTAACATTAAAGCAACGCGTAGCCGCGTAGAGATTGTCTAATTTAAAACTACACGCGCCTCCCTCGTATTTTTGGTAGATTGCATTACTTTTATAATGTCAAATTATAGTTAAAATGCTATCATCTACTATCACGAAAATTCAGATTTTATAATACTTATTCGTAATACGGTAAATTTACAGTTTGAAATGATACGATTTCTACTACATATTTACAAGTCATTTTGTTTTTTATATCTTTACATTATTAAATATTTAAAATTCTACATCATGCTGAGGACATAAGTGAACAGACAATTATTATTAAAAAGGAAATATTTTGAGTGATACGTTAAGGACAAACTAACTTATGTTCAATCCCAATTTTATGAAATATAAGTATATTACAAAATTTGACAATATGTACAAAGGAAATCATGATGCTGGATGCGGAATCAATAAAAGAGTTGTTGCAGAATTCATTACTATCTACATCTTTAGAAAAATTTTAAGTAAAAATATAAAAATGCTTAAGTTATAGCCTATATCTTGCTTCCTCTCGTTTTTAAGTGGATTATTTATAAGTAACATAATGGAAATAATATTTTACCTCTCATATCTACAACGTTCGGCTGCTGTGAAGATTCTATGAATGGATTGTCATTAGAAGGTTTCAAAACTTTTCCAGCTTCGTCCGTGCTCTCTGTTGTGCACATTTCCTAAAAATATTAACAAAGTATTGTAACTGCTCTGTGTTTTATCTCTACGGATTTCAGATTTTTAGTTACTGAAACCTCAGATCAACAAAGAAAGATAGACGGAGCGCTCAACTTATTGTATGAAGACGCACTCATGCAAACAAATGAACCTATATATAGTTTGCAATCAACAACATGATTTTATATTTTACATGCGCCACGCTGCAGTTATATGGATGGGCTCGACCGGGGAATGATTAAGCTCTCACGGAATACTGGCGCAAAATAATGTTGCTGTTTTTCGTATGCTGGGGCAGGGGTGACAACGTATCTGCATTTTGATTCTTAATTGAAGATAGATGTAGACGTCTATGGAACATAATATCCATCTACCATCAAGTGAACTGTGTGCTCGTTTATCACACTTATTCTATAAAAAAGTGCATATGTGTACGTCCAGCAAGATTAACCTAAATAAAGAAAGAAGACAGATGTGTGCGTGAGTGCATGTTGTGAAATCGGTTATGGTTTCGGCGTCACTTAAAATGAGTGCTTCGTCTAACTTCTTTGTTGGTTTGAGACTTAGACAAACAACACACATTTCTTTAATATATAAACCTGAACATACATATTCTCTTACTGGCCGTGATGCAATTGACGAATCTGGTCTTGGTAAAGCGTAGGCATGTGGCTGCGAAGTTACACTGTGGTTTCTTGAGGCGGAGCGACCTCTTAACTTGGCTTCTTTTGTCTGGGCCTTACCTCCTAAGAGGTCACCGTGGGAAGTATATGATAGTCTCGACTGATGCGATGTATATGATGAATGTCGCGAACCTGAAAAATAGAGAGGGATTCAAAAAGGTTAATGTAGAAAATATCTAATATACCCAGTACATGGTACTTACTAAATCGATATGTGAGCATCAATTTTTAAATTTTGTTGGTAAGTAGTATACAGCGTGTAACGATTTCAAAAGCCTTTTTATGTTTCTCATAACTAATAATGTCTTACAGCCTTAAGCCATTTCCGTGAATTATGAGAGATTCGAAAAGTATAATAGGTGGTTTTATTTTTTCGTGAGCTTTTGATGCAGCGATCGATACATTTTCTACCTTTTTCAAAAAGGAGACGGTATTCAATTCGACTGTATGCTTTTTTATGTGTGTGTTACCTCATAACATTTTACTGGGTGAACCGATTTCGATGATTCTTTTATTTGAAAGCTGGTGCTTGAAATGTGGTCCCACGTTTGACCAATAGTTTTTGATTTATTCTTAATAATTTATATTGAATTTGGTTGTATAAAATTTTAAATTTTAAATTATTAGCTCACAATTTTTACGACACTAAAAAAAATTAATATTTTCATTACTTAAAAAATCCTCCCCAAAGTCCCCTTCCTTTCCTTCCAAAGTCCTCCTTAAAATTATCCTTTGTTCTAATTCTAGGTATTTCTATTAAAAAATATGTTCGTTGGCTTTTTAAGGTGTACGTATATGTGACGTTACGTGTTGTTTCTTTCTTCTCTTTTTTTAAGAAGCGTTAACGAATATACGAGGCGAGGTCAACAAGTTCGCGGAATGGCGGGGTTGGCGAGGGTGTGTTCACTCATCCAGGTAGGAGCTAGTTGAGTGACTCATTGTTAGTATATATACCAAGTTTCAGCCTAATCGGCTCATTAGCTTTTGAGTTAGCAATGAGTACACAAGTCAATCGGGAAGAAACTAGCCACTATGGAGAAAATTGAATATCGCGCCATCATTAAGTTTCTCAGCAAACAAGGAAAGACACTAAGTCAAAGCAAGAGTCGATGTAGTGGCATAAAAAAGGCACACCCCCTCCTAAGAAGTATAAGATGTCTAAATCGTCCGGAAATATCGTGGCGACGATCTTTTTGGATACAGAAGGTATAATTTTGATTGATTATAAGGAACGGGGTGTGTGCTCGATTGTCACTCTTATCCTATATAAAAAAAAATATTTCCTCTCCCACTTTTTTGCACTTCACCTTTTTATCTCGTTTATCATCAGGTTGCGTTTTAATTTAAGATTATGATCGAGTATGTTAGTGTTTGTGACACTGCATTCTAGCCTATCTCCCTTTTTAATGCACAGACGTTACGTCTTTTTCAGTAGGCAGGAAGGACGTCATCACATTATGCACTTCTAATTACGTGATATACCAAAGCACCAAATAATCAATAATTTATATAGCGTTCCGGGATGAACAGGAATTATAAATTTAAGTAAATAGGAACTGCTGTGTTTCGTATGGTGAGTGTAGAGAACCAGAGACCCTTTTTATTGTAAAAGAGGCATTCCATTTTAGTCCTCACGGGTGAGAACGCATCTGTATTTTGATCCTTTTTGAGGATAGATGTCTATGGGTCACAGCAACTACGTACCATCAGGTGAAAAAAGTAATTTTGTTTTAATTTTTATTTACTGTATTTATTTGAAATGTATCGTTATTTCTTATCTATTAAATGTAATATTTTTGTGAATACGTACCTAAGTTTGCGTAATAAACCGGTATGATAATGGCTCCATTTTCTTCTGACATTGGTGTAACAGCATTTGAGTCGTCGGCATATGGAAGATGTTCCTGTGCATCCAGATACGTTGACAGTACAAGAGGCTTTCGATCAGCGCCAGGTGGGTATCGAGATCTTCCGTTTGGCCTCAATGCCATCTGGTGCGAACCGCGTGAACCTCGGCGCAAATTGAACGGCGAGCCAGGCAGTGATAATGAAGCCTGCCGTCATATTCAAATTTAAGAATATACACTCTTGCGATCCAATTGATCACAAATGCTTTAAATTTCTCTTTACATGTATTAAAGTTATTTCAATTTTATTCGTTAATATGTTTGACAAGTCTGATTTACTCATGTTACAAATTACTTCTTTCCTCAATTCGGATAGAGTTATGAATGAAATGGAAAACGTTCTGATAAAAGGGAGTAGGTTGCAGAGGCTTTACCTAAATTTAATGAGATAGACATTAACAAGATTCTAAAGAACGGTGTTGTTATACTTTCATGTGCTAATAAACAAATGACAAATAAAGTAGCAAGAAAAGAGTAGTTCAAGGAAAAGATACAAAATAAACTTGTCTTATTGCATCAATGCACGATGATAGCGTGTAATTAAAATGTGAACATTAAAACATAATTACTTAATGTTAAGTAATTCATGTATTGCTGCAACTGGACGGTTACAAAATTTTAACAATTTTTTTAAAGGAATAAGAAGATTAAGAGAGAAAGTAAACATAAATGATCAATTCCTATAAATAAGGAAGAGGAAGGGGTACACAAACACCAATGAGGATTGAAGGACAAACCTGTGAGCCCTCCCGCAGTGGCCCATATGATAACTGCCCGTATTTATTAATGCGTTCAGGGTGGGGGACCTTTAATACACAAAAAAATGATTTTATAGTAATTACCCTTCTATATAATATATATATCGATAAAATAGACACCAACTAACCAGGAAAGAGGACTGAGAGCACACATAATTAGGAAGGAAGGAAGTGATATATTGCAGCTTCAAAGCAAGTTGTGAGAAAAATAAAAGTAGTTGTTTAGCAGCATCATTCGTATTATCTACGTAACATCTAAAAATGAGCTCAAAACGAAAATTTTGATTACAATAAGAATTTTCCTGAATTTTCTTAAATGCTATAAATATTTCATAGCAACTTTAATCATTAAAACCCTTATTGTAATTAGCAGGAATAAACCAATATATAATGAAGCAATGACCATGAATAAAAGCAAAAGTTAGTCAGGTAACTTTGTTTATAAACACATGAAGTAATATTAGCAAACTACATGCATCCTTGTATACTTGCTAACTGTTATTAACCGTAATACGTTTTCAAGTTATAATATGATACATCTATGGTCATGATGACTGTTCTTTTGTGTCTATAAATTATGAAGCCTCCGCATATCACTCATCGAAATTGAGGAATTAATGACCGTTATCAAGTTATTTTATTTATCGCTACGGTAAATGTATTATGTTGACCGAACCTACCTCGTCGTCGTTGCTATGTTCAGTTTCAGCTCGGCCCGTTCGTGGACATTACGAAACAAACAATCTAACATGACGATAGACTCAATGCCTCCAATAGTATTTAATTATATTACATTGATTTATCATTTTATTGATTTGTTACTTTCTAGAAACATTTGATGTACAATCATGACATTACAGCATTAAAAGTTTTGGTTTCAGTAATTTACGGTGTAGATGGAGCAATACTATTGAAGACTGAGATACTCTAAATGAACGTTTCAAACTATGATACTACTAAAATTAAACATCGTTTAAAATGAACAGCTCCATTATAGAATCATGCGGTACTAAAATAGTTTTGCATTCGACGAAAAGCAGTGATAAGAAATGATCATTCTCTTATCAATAGTTAAATTAGAAATGACGAGTAAAGGTGGTAATAAATATAAGGTTAGAAGAGATGTTAAAAAATGGGAATTAAAATTTTCGTTTACAAGCAAGCAGCAGTAAAAAGTGATATTATTAAATTAAATAACGCGAATTGGTACGATAGTTACAGGCAAGTTGACTTTAACATAAAAAAATTTAGATAAGGGAAAGTTTTATCCATATCTAAAAATCTCCACGCATGCCTCGAAGCTGCAGTTGTTAGAATTTGAAATGATGGATGAAATAAAACGTCATATATTGGTAAAAGATACGGTAGTGCAAATATTCAGATATTATATCCTGTAAGCAGAATTTTTTTTAATGGCTCTATGGATTGAAATGGAATTTAATCCCAAAAGTTTTGCCAAACGAAGATAAAATTAATGATTTTATCTGTATATTTGCTGTTCAAAGGAAATAGTAAATTAAACAACTTGGTGATAAATGAAAAGCTCTCAGCGACTGACATTGATTACCTAGGTTTCTTTTCAACTTGAACTAAAGTGGGCTGTCTTCCGTGGTGCATGGCTTACAAGTATAGTTACTGCTAAATGTTTAAAGTTAAGAAGTCAGCAATTGATTTAAAAAAAAAGTCACAGGTTACGAAAAATTTTTAATGTTTAAAGTGCCGTAAAGTTTAGAGGAGTTAACAAGTTGAAAAGAGAATGTACAGCTGTCAATGATTCAAAAACTCATTATTAACAAAAAGGTATTAACATTATTTAATTTTCTTTTTTATTTAAAATCTTTTTAATTTTCTTTTTAAATAATACAATATTATGTTTATTCATGTGTGTACCTCAGACTAAGCACTGAGATACATGTAAATATAAATCAATAAGCAAAAGAAAAACTACCCACTTGAGACTTGTTTGTTAAGCACATAAAAGGGTTTAGGGATTAGTACTTATGGTCGGAAGAGACATCGACTGCATATATTTAGATTATTATTAAAAAGATTTGTCTTAAATGATTTTTATTTTCTTAGTAAACTGTCGCATTTTTTTAAAAATATTGACTTATGTATTACTACGACTGCCACTTTATGTTATGCGAATGGTGTATGAATAGCTATTTCCTTTCCAGGTTTCAAAAGAGAAGTGAACTTGTATACAATATTGTTGAAATCCCGAAAAGAAGATTCTAACTGTCATAATTATTGTATTTCGTAGCATATTCGAACTTGCTGTTTGCAAATACGTTGCTTAGATTGATGGTCCAGTTAAAGTGGGTAGTCCATAAGTTTGAATCATCGTCAGCTCGATAGACGCGTGTGTGTCGCAGCGCATACTCACCATGCTGACCTTCCTCTGTCGGCGTGCCGGTTCGTGGTGCGGATCGGTGGCGGTGGGCTTGTGCGTGGGCTGAGTGCTCACCGAGTCCTGGAAGGGGTCGCTACGAAGGGACATGCGCTCCCGCGTATTGTCGTCCTGGTTGCCCCGCTCTTGGTTCACGAACAGCTCGTAGCTTTGGCAGGAGAAGTCGCTGGGCGACTTCGCTGGGTGTGCCTCAGCGTACGCGGCGGCTTCTGCCGCGGCAGCCTGTTCTCTCGCGTGCGCTTCTCTTGCTTCTTGTTTATCCGCTCTTGCTGCTGCTTTCTGTTCTGCTTCCTTTTAGACAGAATCAATACATGCTTCTATTAACTAACTGAAAGCTTTTTAATATTAAAAATAAAAGTCATTTAAATGGTATGTGTAATAATAAAAATAACAATAAAAAAACTGCCGTTGCCAACCCGCCGACCGAGCGTGGCAACTATGGAAATTCTCATAAGAAGTTAGATTCATAGGTGAGATATTTGCCAAATTGGGGAGGTCTATGTTATGTTTGCAGTTTCCCGTATTTTCTGCCGACTTCCAAAAAAGAGACGGTACTCAATTCGGCTGTGTTTTTTTTTAATGTGTGTTACCTCATAACTTTTTACTGGGTGAACCGATTTCGATGATTATTTTTTTATTTGAAAGCTGGTACTTCTCGTGTGGTCTCATGTGAATTTGATCATGGTCAGACAAATAGTTTTTGAGTTATTCTTAATAACTTATATTGAAGTCGGCAGTACAAAAATTTTTATATTAAATTATGTATCTATAGAGATGTTTATAAAGCCATTTATGAGAGGCTGGAATGAATCCATCACCCATTTGCTTTTTTGAGGGCTGATAAGGAACAAGATGATACCATACTGAACTTCGTAATAATAACAAAGTATTCCGTTTTAATATTCTTGATCTGACTCGACTTTACTAGTAAGTAGATGAGATGATATTAGCTGAAGTATTAGGTTATCTATACCAAATAAATATATTGTCACCGGAACGGTTCAACTTGATAGGCCAAAAGGAATCAAAACAAGAATGAAAACTCTATTCGCGGTTCTCATCGCCTAGAACATCGAACGACACGGTTTAGCCGTCAGAGCCGGGGTCCGCCACCTCCTGTTCGGACGGCGGTTAGACAACTCACCCATGTCATGTTGTGGTTTCCGACGGCATCAAAAAGTATTTCATGTTAATGTGATGATGTGATCACTAAACACAATAAATCCCACCGCTAGATTATTGCTTTCACAACTTTACACTAAAATAAATATTTTTTTTATAGCACGCGGCGTAGTCCGATAAATCTGCAAGAGCCGCAAAGGCTAACAGCATTAACATCACAGAAACTACACAAGAATGAAAAACAAAGAATGCAGCGGCGTAACATGGGTTTCTATCGTGTCAGAACAGCCCCGCACCCATTCTCATTTTCACACTTGGCAAGTCTTCTCATCTATGTATACATACATGCATTGCTATTAAAAGAAAAAACATACCCTGAGAGCTTCTTCTTCGGCCTGTTCTTCTTCCTCCGCTTTCTTCTGCAACTCATCGTATGACATGGCGACGATAGCCAAGATTAAGTTGACCAGGTAAAATGAGCCTAAGAAGATGATTACAACGAAGAACAAAACGTGCCATGATCCAGCTGATCTTAATACCTGAAAAAGTGAAAAGAGTAATTTATATACAAATTCAGTTGAAACTATATTTACTTATAAGTAAAGTTCATAATACATTATTAGCACTTATAATAGATTCTCTCCTCCTAGTGGGAATACTTTCTTTACGGATTTTATCATGCGGATACAATTCGAACATAACACGCACTTTTTCATAGTATATTGTGCGACTTGTAGCTTCATGTACAATCAGTGTGAAGTTAGCCTTACGTAGCGCTACTGCTGTCCGTACGTACGTAGCAACACAGAATAAATAATAGGTAGCAGTCAGGAAAGCCGCGTGGTATCCACGTAAGAGAATTTATCATCTCCTTTCGTCCCGAGGTGACTAAAGAAAATGCCATAAAAGTGTTACGGTTTCCGATGATTAACGGTATAATCATCTCGTTTGCGATAGACTTAAAATACACAGACCAGCGAAGGAAGCAGAGTTAAAGGTGCGAGACGTCTGGTACTACGTTCATCAATCCTCAAATATAAATAATACCTAATGAAAGTCGTCATTCTTATAGTCGTTTAATTTACCACTGGTTCGAAAAAGACCTCTGTCTTGGGAAGAACCAGCAGGAAACCCAGCGGGACAGTTTCAACAGTTTCTTGTTCAAAAGAACAGAGTGAGTTTTTTGTTTTTCGTACAGCTGTAGACTGAATAGAATAGAATAAAATGATTTTTTTTCAATATAGATTATTACATAATACTTATCGGAAGTCATGTACCTATATTTTGATCTGTGAGGGAGGCCTATGTTCAGCAGTGGACTTTTAAAAGCTGTAGTGGAGTATACATGTGTATTCTCTCTACCACGGTTGCGTAAAAATGACATAATTGGTATTATATTTGGTATAACATTGACCAGCGGCAATAACTAGGAGAGCTTGGACAAGGTAAATTAAAAAAAAAAAACTTAACTAAAACTGAAACAAAAAGAGTCATACCAATTGATAAAGATTCTCCCAATAGTCTTGAGTCATTAACCGGAAAGCGGATAAGAAAGCCCAACCGAATGTGTCGAAACTTGTGTAGCCATAGTTTGGATTTGGGCCGTATCCTTGCAGACATACGTAGCCCGGCTCGCATTGCCTACAGAGAAAGTTAATTATAATTCATGCATCAATTTAAACCCCGTTATATTATTTAGACTGGATTACATACCCTGCGCCTGATGAATTTCCACACAACGGATAATCGCCATTTTCCTCGTACCAGTTCGCTGAAAAACAATAGAGGAAGGATTATATAATAAAACGTTATCGAATCTTAGTGATAAGTGAGAGAGCAGATCTTACTTTCATTCTGACAGAATCTCTCCCAGTTTTCATCGGTCAAGTTGCCCCAACTACCATCTTCCGGGAACGATTTGATGCATTTCTGTGTTAATACTCCCATGTAAATTTGTAGACCCATCAACGCGAATACGGACAAGGAGAACATCGTCAAAATTATCACATCTCGTAGATTTTTCACTGACTCTATTACCGCTCCCACGATAGTCTTCAACCCTGTCAGATGTACATAATTAGTCGAATTTTTCTTCGCGATCTGTGTTACTAACTATCAATTCTTTAAAGAAATCTTTAACAAAATTGCCAAAAATCACACCGTGTAAATTGCTAAACACACTGCGTTTCACACCCTTTGATAGAATACATTTTATCTATTACATCTATGTTACAAAAGCTTGTTAATGTTACCTAAGCGTTTCTAACACCATAAGCGTATTTACCATATATTTTATATGACTACAGAAGTTTAAATATACAAATAAATTTACCCGGTACGATGGCCACAGTCTTCAACGCTCGCAGAACTCTGAACGTTCTGAGCGCGGCCAAGTTGCCGAGATCTATGCCCATCGTCACATAACTGTAAACATACCCACAACCACAACATCTATATTAATATAACTAACTACTTAACTATATTCACTCTAAAAAAAACAACACTTCTTCTATTCTTTTCATAGGAATATTTTTCGCACGCAGGCGATACATCTTCGCAGCGTTTATGATTTTGCAACTTTCCTGACATAAACGTGTAACTGCTAAAATTGATAGTAAAAACTTTTCTATAATGCAGCTATACTTAAAGAGACATTTAATAATAAATAACGACAAAAATCTACAATTGAACGGTTATAATAATTGTCTACGTAATTATAATAAATTGACTACTACTCACGCTAAAGCTATAACTACGAAGTCAAGCCAATTCCATGCATCTCTAAGGTATGTGAATGGCTGCAGTATAAAACCCCTGGCCATTACTTTCACCGCCGATTCAAACGTGTAGATCCCGGTAAAGATAACTCTGTAAAAATTCACCTCCATTGTGGAACGCCGCTTAACATAATATATAAAATTCTCATAGACAAATAAATTAAATGTCAACTTCTAAAATTGAACGCGTACGACTATGTAGGATATTTCTAAAGATTTTAGAGTATTGTTCATTAGCGATATAACAAAATAAGATGCTATGTCAGCTATATCTAAATGACAAGTAAATATACAATATTTACAAATAGGTGATTTGTTTCGTAACCATACTTAACTTATGATAAAAGATGAAATATAAAAATAACAAAAAGTTGAAAGGAAACCTTCCAAGTGTGTCTTTTTAAAGGTGTTAAAGTTGCACTTAGATGTTTTAATGGTGGGCTATTATTTTCATTTAATTTTAAATACACTAAAAGAAGAAAAATACAACAGTATATTCCTGTATATGTATAAAAATTGGTTTCATATTTGTTTGTTACATTTTACTAAATATGGAATAGCAACTAGGTCATATAAACGTAGATCTTAGAGATAAGATTTTTTTAAATGTATACAATAGAAAATTATTTCCATATCATTAAACAAGACTATGCGTATATTTTTCTAACAATGCTTAATATCTAAACACCTATCAATAATTGGAAAACTAGCTTGAAACTAACAATTTTGAAACTAGCGTGCACTCTACGAATGATTATATGGAAGTCGTAATTTTGCTGGTTGGTATGAAAACGTGTGGCCGGTTAAAATCAATACTCACTCAGTACTTTCGACGGTAGGTGTGGTAGGCATTATCATTAGAATACAGTTCACTAAGATCGTTGTGATGATGAATAAGGAGAATAGTGGATGAACTAGTATGTATATTGCCACTCTTCTTATGGGGTTAAACGGGTCCAGTATCCATAAAGCGTCGGTCGCCGAAAACCTGAAGATATCTTTGCCTTTGCTTATAACTACGAAAGTCTGTAACAAGAAAAATGTTAACGTGAGAGTCAGTAGAATAGGCAATTATAGTCATGTTGTGATTTGAAAGTAGTTCTTGAGAATTCAACATTACAATTGATTTTATAATGAAGATTTAAAAAATAGATAAGAAAAAAGTAGGTAGGATAAGAAAAAATGGTTGCAGCACGAATAGGTTGGCGTAACCGGGAAAGGACCACGCCCTCACTGAATATCAGCGTGAAACAGTGACTCAGTGTTGCTGCGTTCCGTATGGTGAGTGTAGAGAACCAGAGACCTTTTAATTCCGGTATTACAATATGGTATCGAAGCATTTCATCTTAGTCCTCAGGGGTGACAACTAACAGCGCATTAGTATGTTGATTTTTAAGCGATAATAGATTAGGTGTGTATGAGCCACAGCATTCACTTCCCATCAGGTGAACTAGGTGCTCCTTTGTCAATTTGTCACCCTTATGGCCAAATACTTAAACGCTACTCAATTTTAAAATGTTGTTAAGACTCCTGTCACAGTCACGTTGACTTAAAGTAATAAAGACAGCACGAGACTTAACGGCTTCTTAAAATTGAGGAGCATTATGTATTTGGGCTTTACTCCGATAAAAAAGTACGGTAAGAAATATAAAATCTTTATAAAGAGATTGGTGTGTGTACTTTTTTTTATATAGGATATGGTGACAAACGAGCACACAGTCCACCTGATGGTAAGTGGTTGCTGTGACCCATAGACATACACATCTATCCTCAATAAAGAATCAAAATGCAGATACGTTGTCACCCGTGAGGACTAAGATGGAATGCCTCTTTTCCAGTAAAAAGGTTCTCCGATTCTCTACACTCACCATACGAAACACAGCAGTGTTAAGCTGCTATTTGACGCTGGTATTCTGTGAGAGCATGGTCCTTCCCCGGTCGAGCCGACCCATTCGTGCTAAAACTATACTACTAATATAGCTGCAGCATGGCTCTACCACGTAAGAAAAGTATGTACTCGTACGCACGTAAGAAGTTATACTTCTTTAACGTAACATAAAAAAGAATGAGAGACAATTGCCCACTGAAGTTGTCAGTGTGCGCGCGCATCGTAAAAATTCACTCTCATCATTTTTCCCAAACATTTTTAAAAAACGTGCAGTGATAGTCTCGAGCTTAATTTGTGACTTAAGAACCATGTGTCCGCGGAAGACCAGCCTTTTGACATACTCCTTGCGAGCATGTCATGACAAATGCTGAGAGGAAGCTTGTTATTAATGTATATATATATATATATAATGTGCATGCACTGCTGTGTCAATAAAGTTTATTTTCTTTCTTTGTTTCTTTCTATGTTTAACAGATAAGTCATGGCTGTTGGATGCACAAAGCGGATCCAATGAGTGGTAAAGGGGCCGTCAATAAAATATGAGTGGTCTGAAGTATACGATTTGCGGGCAACCCGCGTTGTACAGTCAAGTTGATAAGTAGGTCCTTGGTTTTTAATCCTTACATTGTAGTCGAGTCCAGTTGGTGTAAAGACACAACATACAATTAAATTATATAATTGTTTCAAATCAAACCTAAAATGTTAACAGTTTTTGTTGTTTAGTTGTTTATGACTAGATTGTAATGTTTTTAAATTGTTCGATAATGCTGATCTCTTGTTTACTTAAATTGTTAAAAATTTCCTTTTTCTTTTAGTTTATATTAGAGTTTAAGTAGTTCTAACTAATGTCATTTTGTAATATTGCATATGCACTAAATCCTCCTTTGCATCTCTCATTTTTGTAATTTATTTTATAAATTATTCTATAAATTATTAGCTGGTGGTGTTGGCTTTACTAAATTTAAATTTTAGGATTAAGATTAGTTATTAATCCTTTGTTGAAGTTGTTTACTGTCCTTAAATAAAAGAAAAAAAAAAGACTTTCAGTCCGATTGCTTTTTAAAAAACATATACTGTGATTCGGTAGATATGTTGCATTGTAAGAGAATCCGCCATTCACTTTGAATCATTCATCATAACAGTCCAAAATGCTATGAAATCTTTTGAAATCAGACATTTGCTAGAGCGACCAGTTAAATCTAAAATGCGACGGGGGGAAAGCTCTTAGGTTCCGTGCATCTATTGCTGCGTTTACCAATCTCCTTACTGCTGGCATAACAAGTAATTACTTAGAACCCAAACTAAAGCCGAAACTTATCGCTGAACTGAATAGCACAGGCTTGATAAACGCTTAATAATTGTTCCAAAGTAAGATATGTAAGATTTCAATATTTGTAATTTTAAGCGCTTATTTACCACGTGCTTGACTTTTAAGGAAAATATCGTGAGGAAACTTGCATGTCTGAGAAATAAGAAAGAAAAATATTTGCAAGACATGTGAAGTTAACCAACACGCATTGGGGCAGCGCGGCGGACCTTTCCTTGCCCTACTTTCAGAAATGAGAGGAGGTCTGTGCCCAGCAGTGGGACGTATAGTAGGCTGTAACTTTACTTTACTTCTATTTTTGTAAAATAAAAAGTAATACTGGACTGTTATCTACACTATCTTACACTTAATATTATAAAGAAGAAAAATTTGTTTGTTTGTTTGAATTGACTAGGCTCCGAAACTACTCGACCGATTTGAAAAATTCTTTCACCATTAGAATCCTACATTGTCCCTAATGAACATAGGCGATAGAATGTTATCAAAAAAGTTAGGGGCCCGTATGGAAACTTCGTTAATGTAACCCAAGGTGTGAAAAAAATATCAAAAAAAATCTTTAAATCGCGTACGCTGCGAAAACTATTGACCATAGAGCAAAGTGATGTACTACAGTTTTATAGAGGACATCAATATCTACAGAAAAGTCTGCGGTACCATATGTCTTACTACTACGTTTATGTCACAACTCACAATAACTACTTTTGATGTTAAAATATGCAATATCTAGTAACGCCGGTACAAACTAGGCCACATTATTCGTACCTTGGTATTAGTCCTTATATCCAAATAAATCACGTCGTATTCAAGGCTATATCAGTACCTGTACCATGCATAACTATCAATTACGTTAACCAAAACCAAATGTTACTTAAATTGCATTTAAGTATTAATATTAATAATATTGTTAGAATTTTTTTTTCAAATACAGTGTTCCCTTTTATCTAAGTCTCCTCTTTGTGCGGTGCTTTAAAGATGGTTAATATCAATTTTAACTGATAAACAATAATTTTATTATTAAATAAATAAATAAAATTTACCATATTTAAATAAATTTATCTTAATATACTCGTACCAATCCATTTACAACATTTTTAAACAAATTTATACGTGGTAGAGCCATGCTGCAGCTATATTCGTAGTATAGTTGTAGCACGAATGGGTCGGCTTGACCGGGGAAGGACCACGCTCTCACAGAATACCAGCGTAATATAGCAGCTTAACACTGTTGTGTTTCGTATGGTGAGTGTAGAGAACCGGAGACCCTTTTTACTGGAAAAGAGACATTCCATCTTAGTCCTTACGGGTGACAACGCATCTGCATTTTGATAGATGTATATGGGCCACAGCAACTGCTTACCACCAGGTCCACCTGCTATGTGCTCGTTTGCCACCATATACTATAAAAAAAACAATCCACGATTTCATAACTTTAGGCCTTTTAGCATCTATTTTACGTACGACCTTGAGAGTCAATCAATTTTTGTTCGATAAAATTATTTTACTTATAGAAGGAAGTAGATGGCGCTATTACAAAGCAATTTTATTCGAAAGAAAATTTCCTTTTGATCTATTACACCAAAATTTAGTCTAAAAATTGTAACATTTATTTGTTAAAAATAAAACTGTTATCATATATGCCGGACGTGGTTGAAAATGATCATAATAAATAAATAATTTGACGTGAAATATTTTTATTTTATATTTAATTTCATTTATGGGTTTCACTTCTACCGCGTGTAAAATGCATACATGTTTATTTATAAAATTGAAGTGACAATCGACATTACAGTCCACCGGATGGTAAATGTCCACTGTAGGCTATGCACACCTGCACTGGCTCCTACTATTACTACTGCTGGATAATGGCTGTCTACATCCTTTAAATCGAAACAGCTATGCACACACTGCTATTTGGTGGCAGAAATAGATAAGAGAGTGGTGCCAATGAAGACGGACGCCTAGGATAAGGAGCCCTATCACCTAGAAAATAATTTAGTATTAACATTACAACAAACTTTACACTTACTTTTATGTTATGGTAAAAAGGATCGATATCCTCGAGGGGAGTTGAAGCGAGCTCCAAGGGGAATGAGCCCTGCATTCGAACCGGCAGTGGGAGACCCTGCTCCAGGGTTGCGTCCGGCTGAGGACCTTCATCCTCATCCTCGTCATCGTAACGCACCTGCGACATTCACCCTAACGTTAATAATAAAGCAAAAACTAATATTATATTAATGGCTTTCTATAAATGTTTATTAATAATGTAATGAATAATGTAAACTTATTAGAATATGTTTAGGAATAAAGTTTTTGATTTTATTTATTATTTTTACATTGCATTACACCAATACGAAATTTAGTTAATTAGTCATCACTACAAGCTTTCATTAGTGATGCGCGCTGTGTAAAACAACACTGTATCTAGCAACTGTATCCTGTATCTTAATGGTGTGGGCGCAGCATGTCAGTGAACGCATTGGAAGCTGTTTGAATGCTAACTTGTGCCACCTTAGGTGTTACCAATATGCTTAATCTGGCAAACTAAAAGCTTTATGCTGGAACGTTCCTCGCCATATTGCTGCCATTTCGAATTTGACAACTCCATGGCTTCACAGTGGTGTAGCGAATTCGAAACGGGCCTCAAAATAGGAAGTACGTTGTAATATTATATGCAAAAAGCTAGCTAGGTGATGCCGCCACCATGCTAGAATGAAACAGCCATAATGATGTGGCAAATATATACCAGTCGTGTGCAATGCATGATGATGGTGAATGTTTTGTGCTTTGTGTTTTTGCTAATACTTTTAATTTTGACTTTTCATAATCTATCTTAACACACTCAAAGGCCTTAAGGTACTACACTTGGGAATTTTTCACTGATTGTATAATTTGTTTAAGAATAATTTGTTTCTTTTCTAGCATCTACAGGAGACAAGGTTTTTTTTTTTAACTTTAACCGTATTTAATAGAGGTAGTATATATTTCGTATTGCACTGTTGGATGAAATATTCCTTTTTATGCAAAACAATATGATAAGCTTTCTTTAATCAACTACTTAAAGGTTAGCTGTTACAAAGGGTTGCCAACAGCTAAACTTGAGCGCAACTTTTACGCAAAAATGTTGCGAAAAAAGCGATGTGTTTATTAATAATGCATTAAATGCGATTAACGCGCATAAATCGAAATGCAGTTGCAAGTTATCGCATAACATAAGTACATACCAATGCCTCGGCAATAACCTTTCATATTTAATTTTGATTAAAAAGCGATAACTTGCTTAGAATTTTTTTCTAATAAAAATGAGCCGTAAAAAGGTAAAAGGGGCAAGCAAGCAATCTTACTTCTTTTTTCTTTTTCGTCCGGCCCAAATCGTTCTGGAATAATTTAAAAATTATTTGTCAGAACTATTCTCCTCCTTGCTGTCCGATTTTAAATGAGTTTTTTGAGTGTTCATTGTTCACGGACTGTCTTGCATGTGATTTCAAACTTTTAGAATTAATAAGTCAAGTCAGTAGATTATAGGATTTTCAGAATATGTAGTTGCAAGAATATCACACATTTCACAGCTAATACCATACAAGACAATACATTTACAATTATGATCATTTCGTACTTACCTCGCCTTCCGCTCGTTTTTTCTCGAGTTCTTTTTGCTTTGCATGTTCCTCAGCTATGCGGGCTTCGATAGCAGCCAGTGACTCGCGTGTGAAAGGTCGGAACAAGCTTGGTTCTTCCTCGCTGATCGAGTCCAAGTCCTCGGACATTGTCTATCGAGCTCCCACTGAGTGAACAGCCTACTGTAAACGTTAATAAATTTAATATAATGACTAACTTTTTTGGGGTAGAAAATGTCCTAAGTACACTTGACTTCTAAGAATAAAATTACCTCCATTTTAGAAATTCCGTAACATGTTAAGACTCATATTGTCCCGTGTATGTAAATCCCCCGCCTTATATTGTCCCGTGGATGTCGTGAAACGCGACTACATAATACACGTACTAAATATGGTAATAATAGGATAAATAGGATATACGCGGTAGAGCCATGCGGCAGCTATATTAGTAGTATAGTTGTAGCACGAATGGGTCGGCTCGACCGGGGAAGGACCACGCTCTCACAGAATATCAGCGTAAAATAGCAGCTTAACGCTGCTGTGTTTCGTATGATATAAATAATAGAAATAAATGATTATGATTATGAAATGATTATGATGAGTGTAGAGAATCGGAGACCCTTTTTACTGGAAAAGAGGCATTCCATCTTAGTCCTCATGGGTGACAACGCATCTGCATTTTGATTTTTTTATTGAGGATAGATGTAGATGTATGTAGGTCACAGCAACCACTTACCATCAGGTGGACTGTGTGCACGTTTGTCACCCTATCCTATAAAAAAATGTAATGACTTTAAAATGGCGGAAAAATCCCCGGATACTAGTGTAAGCATCGCATCAGATAAATACGGAATATAAAATAGGGTCGACTTCTGGTTCTGCTATTGTATCCGCCTGCCAAATGTGGCTATTACGTCAAATGAGAGTTTACTATTGGAAATGCGCCTCCCATTGCCTATAGTAGACTCATACAGGTTGGTAAAAAAGAAGAAACTTAAATATAAATTGATAATTCTAATATTATTGACCGTTATCGTTAGGGTTAAAGCCTATCAAAAGTCCAATGCTGGCATAGCAGCCTCCATATATTACCTCATAGCATAGAGGTGATAATTTAATCACAATACTCGCATCTACGTTTAAAATATTAGAAAAATTAATTGACAACACATAAACGAATTATTTACAGAGTAAATCCATATTATCGAATATGCAATAATATGGTTTCAGACCAAAACTGTCCACTGCTGAGGCTGTGCAGGAAAGGACTGTGAAGGAACGAATGATTACGTCTCTCAAGAATTAGATAAAAGCAATCAATCTATTGGCATTTTTCTTGACCTAGCAAAAGCTTTCGATACAGTTTCTATTCTCATCCTGTTAAATGAGCTAGAGAACATAAATATTCGAGGTAAACAGCGTCTACTTTTAGCGATCTATTTAGAAAACCGTTGTCATTGTTTAAAAATCGATAAGGTTATTAGCTCTGAACAATAAAATACTCATTTTGGGGTGCCTCAAGGCAGTATATTAAGTCTAACCCTACCATTGATATAATGCATTAATGACCTTTGCAATCTCGGACTTACGAGTAACTCAGGTAAAATAATATCTTACGCAGATGATATCGTGCTCCTTTTTTCCGCAAATACAGTACACAAGGTTTATTTATGTGCACAGTAAAGTTTTGATAGGGTTAATAAATGGCTCCAACAAAATATATTAACACTGAATACGGACAAAACCAAATATATTAATTTTTCTATACGCAGCTCAACCGTCAAAATGTAATTGCCCAGATATTTTAAACACAATAACTATTAAATATCTTAGAATAACTATAGATTCTGCTTTTACTTTAAAAAACCACTTAGACCATCCTGTGCAGTAGAGTCCGTAAACTAATGTTTGTTTTTAAAAAGATTCGGTTTTTTGCTGACATTAAGGTAGTAAAGCAAGTATATTTCGCATTTTGTCAATCGATTCTCACCTATTGCAAAACCTCATAAGGAGGACCAGCTAAAACTACACTGCTACCACTGGTACACTCTCAAAGAGCCGTATTAAAAGTTGCAACATTCCGCCTTATCTTAATCTCTAATATAAATCCTGTAATGCCCTCTAAGTGCGCCAGTTATTCGTTACGTTACTAAAACAGCACTTAAAATTGCCCTACAGAAAAGCCACCGATAAAAGACGCAAAGATTAAGTAAGTGTAGTTCACATTAGAATAAGGTGTTCTTTCATGCATAGATTTTTACATTCCTTGGGCCTTTTCTGTATAATCAAGGCAATGCAATTTTGTGGATATATCCAATAAAAATGGCAGTTGTATTCGAACATGTTTACAAATTTGTCATACGATGATAGGGATAACTTAAAATATATTTTACCGAAATTAACCATAATTAGTTAGTATGCTATTCATTTTATATCAGAAACAGAAAATATTTGTTAAAGTATCTATTAACCCATACACCTGAGATACAGGTTTATCCTAGTTTAGGCACTTGTTATTGTAGACTATTTTAGATTAAGGCATTGTTTGAATGAACTAGTTTATTAAAATAAAAATTTATTAAAAAATTGCCATAGTTCCCACGCCCGGCGGGCGGGTTATCAACCGTAACCAACTTCAAAAAGGAGGAGGTACCTACTCAATTTGATTGTATTTTTTTATTTGTGCTACCTCATAACTTTTTTCTAGGTGAACCGATTTTGATGATTATTTTTAATTTGAAAGCTGATGCTACTCACGTGGTTCCATATAAATTTGATCTAGGTCTGAGTCTAGTTTTTGGGTTATCCTTAATGATTTAAATTGAAGTCGGTTGTACAAAATTTTTAATTTTAACACTTGTTTAATAAATTGTGTAGTTTTGAAATCTGCATCTGGTACTACGAGCATGTACGGAATCGTTGAACAGCTACGATTAAATTAGCATACTATTTATATTTATTACAAAATGCAGTCTAGTGTATAACACACACTAGACTGCATTTTGTATGATTTCATGTGTCGTTCAAATGTCGTTGCATCTGGTCAGCATTACATAATATGTCATGTCACGTGTAAGCCGTAACTTATGACTGGCCTTACTATTTAAGATTGCAACATACTACTTCCCTCACTTTTTAACTTGACTTGTGACTTGTATCCCACCTAATGGTAAGTGCGATGTAGCCGAAGGTGGCGCTTCCACTATTCAACATGGTTAAATTAAATAATTCTTTCTACAGCTTGCTTGGCAGGTGAATTGGCGATTACAGTACTAGAAGTCTTGCCTATTTATCTATTTACGCTGCTCTATGTTGCCTGTCTGATTATTTTACTTCTGGCGTATACGCGATAATTAAGGCGTCATCTGTCGAAAGCTATAAATATTTGTGGCACTTCACATACTTGCCTTTTATGATACGCTTGGGCTATAATAGGCTGATGGCATCTTTTTGAATCGCCACGCCACGGCTAACTTGGTGGCTTTACTTTGTATTATTTATAATAACTCTCGTAGTTATTAAACCCAAAAATCACAAACAAATCGTCTCAAAAATTGTGGCAGGTAGTGGTAGATACAGGAGTAAGAAGTATGGCACTTTTAACTTTTTCTCTGACAGCTAAGCTAACCTTTAAAACCTTTAAAGGTAATGCACCTTGCAAATTAATAAGTGAGGCTCTGGCAACCGATACATAGCAGAAATTTCATCTGAATACGCGGAACTTTATAAAAAAGAAAATGTAAAAGATAACTAACAACATATTAATATAAAAAAAAATAGTCAAAAAAGAACTTGCGGACTCAGTATGCTTTTGATGTGTGTGTTAAATCTTCTAGTTACATTTATAGTAAAAGTACTTCAATAAGCGGAATCAGAATATTCAAGCATTTACCTATATTCATTAAGTCATTAGAGAGCCATGAGCCCACGATTTAAAAAAAAATATTTTATCAAAACGTTTTTATAATTTAGATGAATATTTTAGAAGTATTGTAATTATTGATTTATTTTTGTATTATATTGTACGTCCGAAATGGACAAACTGTTGTAACTATATTCTGTATTTCTAAGACCTCATGTACACAGTTGTGACAATAAATTGTTATCTTATCTTGTCTTATCTTTTCTCATTTATTAAAAGAGTTGTAGGGCAAGCAAATGTCCGTCGTTCTGCCCCTATACGTATAAGCAAACTTCACACGTCTTCGAATTATATTTTTTAAATATTCACAGAACCGCAGATTTCTTCACGCTGTTTCATTCGCCGCGTAGTAAAATAAAGAATAAAGGTGACAAGTGAGCACATATTCCAATCAATGGTAAATGATTGCTGTGGCCCATAGACATCTATATATATATATCTAAGGACTGAGATGGAGGGCCTCGTAACCAGTAAAAGGGTCTCCAGTTCCCAGCACTTACCATACAAAACACAGCATCATTTTGCTGCTCAACGATTTGTTTTCTATTAGAGCGTGGACCTACCCCGATCGAAGCATTCGTGCAGTTATGCGTTGTAAATAAGCACGTAATCACCACGCGGGATAGGCGGAATTGTGAATGCAGAGCCGCTACCCTGCATTAGTAATCACCTCCTTCTTCGTCAGCCCGTAAAGTCCACTGTTGGACGTGGTCTCTCCAATAGTGACGGAGATTTGTCGTAATCCCACACTTGGCAGGTTTATTTGTAGATAATTACTGTACCTGAAGTTCTAACATTTTGTCACTGCTCCCCGTTGTAGGTCTTGGTAATGCACTCTAGTAATTAATGAGTGCGACCGGTTGATAACAGAACGTCTATCCAGTTACCTAGAACCTTATGGACTAGTGATTAGATGGACTTTATTTGTGCGAGGGTAACAAATAATGAGCAACGTTTTACGTGGTGGAGCCATGCTTGTGGTATGGTTCTGGAAAAACATTTTTATATATTTTTTTGATTACTCCTAAGAATGTAATGCACACGCAATTATTCTATTATGCAGCTTTTTGAAGTGCAATTGTGTATATATAATCTCCACATTAATATTAAAGTATATGTTTATGTTATGGATAGAGATGAAGTTCTGTAATCCACAGAATTTCAACCCTCCTCCAGTGGACGAGCTAAGTAATCAAGTGTTTGTATACGATCCCATTTCCACCTAGCT